GATGAAATACCAATAAATAATCCTATAAAAGGAAATGATCTGTATTCACGTGATCAGGATATCTTACCTGGGGGTGGGGTAAGCGTCTATAATAAAATGATATTAAGTAATATATGTCACCGCCCTTACTAATAACCGTTCTTTTTTTTGTTTAGGTTCAGGTGGGCTTCCAAGTTCTGAAGAATGGAAACCCAAAGATTCGTAAATACAAATCTTTTTTTATGAAATGGTTTATTAACCATTCCTTTCTTTCTTTTATAGGTTTGGTGGGCTTCTAATGAACAGGAACTAAGATTTTGGTATTTTTTTTTATTTTATGGAACGGTTTACTAACCGTTCCTTTCTTTTTTTTATAGGTTCGGTGTCTCAGAAGAGCTTCTGAAGAATGGAAAAACCTAAAGATTCGTAAATACTAGTATGAATCTTTTAGAAGTTTTTTTTTATTTTTTTTAATATTACGAACAGTTACTAACTGTTTTTTTTCTTTTATTTTTTATAGGTACGGGTAGTCTTCCGAAGAATGGAAAACAATAAACTGAGGTTCGTAAGTATTTTACTACAAACTTTAGATTTTTTTTGATATTACGAATGGTTTATTAACCGTTCTTTCTTTCTTTTTTTAGAGGGTCGGGTGGATTTTCGAAGATTGGAAAACAGAGAACTAAGGTTCATAAGTATTATATTACGAACCTTAGATTTATTTTTTTTAATAATATAAATAGTTCTAACTGTTCTTTTTATTTTATTTTTTAGGTTTCGGGTAGGCTTCCAATCATGTGCACTTTCATACATTTCACTTAAAATATTTCCAGTAATAACCTCGCTTATATTTTCAGGTGAATCCCCTATAGTGTTCTTAGGTGTACTTTGCCATTAGTTTTCTTTATCCTACGAGATTCTGTTAATTTGCAGGACCTGAAGATTTTTTAGGCCTTCTTCGCTTTCTTCGTAGTGAAATATTGGTTTCATCATTAACCATCTCATTATCAGAACTATTTTTATCACACTTTTTCATATTCTTTCTGAGCACAAAAATAACAATATAATTTCTTTGACCGTTGATATATGCTATATATTGTTATTTATTTATATAATTCTGATTTATTCATTTGTATTCTTGGTGAAAATCAAAACTTCAATTATTAGAAGCGTTTAAACTACTATCAGCAAAAGGTTTCAACCTGTTCAACAAGCTCAAGGTTTTAAAAGTAAAGCTGGACGCCCTCTTCGGAATTAGTAGAGCCAAAATTCATGAGTACGAATCTTGGTTTATTTTATTTTATTTTTTTAATATTATGGAACGGTTACTAACTGTTCTTTTTCATAGTTCCTTTTTTAGGTCTTGGGTGGATTTCCGAAGAATGGAAAAAGAAGATCAAGATTCATAAATATATACAAATCTTAACGAAACGGATTGGTAAGTTTCGAAGTTTTACTTCGAAACTTTTTTTAAAATTTTTTTTAAATTAATTTTTTTATTAATACTTTTTTTTTTCTTTTTATTGTTAGGTTGTACTTCCTGGACAAAGTTTTGAAGAATAACTTTAAAACTTTTTTTATAGATAACCCAGAGTATTTAGTTAATTAATATAAAAATTGTAAGTTTCATAGCTAATAGGTGTTACTTTTAATAATAGAAAAATTTAGCTAATATTTAGTAGACTTAGTATATAGATTATACTTGTAGCTGAAACCTTCCAAGGGTATGGCCAAAACCGAAAGTCCGAAACACTAGTCCGAAACCTTGTCTGAAATCCGAAACCTTGTCCGAAACTTTATATAGGCTGAAACTATTTTTTATTATAAGCTGAATGTCCAAAACCTTTTTTATTATTTTATTTATTAATTTTTAATTTTTTATAATTATTATATTATTAATGAGCTAAATTATTGAAAGAAATAAGGAATATTCGGGTTTGCTATATACGCATTCATGCGCATACTATGCATGAGTCATGAGAATTAATGATAATTCTGGCCAGAATTATTGTATAATATGACGTATGACTTATATAAAAAAGCTTAAAATAGAACTGGAAAAGGTCAGGCATAGTTTCGGGCACTTTCGGCCATAGTTTCGGCTATATAAAAGGTTTCGGATATGGTTTCGGATTTTGACTAGGGTTTCAGTTTCGGAAATAAGGTTTGTAAACTGATACTGGCCGAAAGTCCGAAACTGAAACCTGGCCGAAACTGAGGGGTTTCGGCTACAAGTATAATATAGATTGTTATAGTGTATTTAATAAAATAAATTCAATAATATTATAAATTTAATATGATGTTTATTATCTTTAAATAATGTACATCGTTAATAGACATTAAATTTAAGTAATGCACATTGAATGTTGTAACATCAGTAGTACATTGCAAGGTCTGATGTTTAGCGTTTCTTTATAATATACATCAAGTGACCGATGTACATTTAATGAACATTTTTCCTATGACTTCCTGATGTACGACCACTGGATGGCGAATAATGTCAAGTTTTGAATTTTTTTAAAATTTTCGAATGTTAAAAATTAAAAATTCTAATACATAAATTTATTCATCATGCAATGATCGTATAAACATAAATTAGAACTCATTGGATTCATCTCGATAAGACAAGTTGAATGGTGGTAAGATTACGTCTCTAGCATCGATAGATAGCTTGCTAATGCCAATTTTTTATAAATCATTTAGCATGAATTAACTTACGATCTATTGATGCTAGAGACATGATCTCACCACCATTCGACTTTTCTCATCGGGACAAATCCAATGAGTCCTAATTCATATTTATACGACTATTGGATGACGAATAAATTCATGTATCAGAATTTTTAATTTTTAACGCTTGAAAATTTTAAAAAAATGCGAAACTTGACATTATTCGCCATCCAGTGATCGTACATAGACAAATTAATATTCATTGGATTCATCTCGCTGAGACGCGTTGAATGGTACTAAAATCATGTCTCTAGCATCGATAGATGGCTTGCTAATTCCAATTATTGATAAATTATTTAGCGTGGATTAACTTGTGATCTATCGATGCTGCTAAAGACATGATCTTACCACCATTTGACACATCTCATCATGACGAATCCAATGATATATGGGACTTTGTATGATCACTAGATGGATAGCTATTCGATTTTTCACATTTTTATAAAAAATCAGATTAAACCGAACTGAACTGCCAGTTTTTCAGTTCAGTTCTTACGAATTTTGGCTTTAATCTGAACCGTCTATAATCCAGACTAAACCAATCCGTTTAGAGCTTTAATTGTACCATTTGTTTTTAAATTAAACAAATAAATTTTTAAAAACTATTTTAAATTAATACATTTAATACTATTCTCTTTAAAACTAAAATACAAATTATTGTCTTAATAATTAGAATAATTTATCTGTTAAAATCTAGATGATTATCTGTTAATATTCAGATAATTATCTGCTAACGTACAGATAAATTATCTGTTGATGCACAGATAATAAAAAATGTAAAAATTTGGAAAAAATATCTGTAAAAATTTTTGGAAAGTTTTGCAGATAATATATGTAAAATATCATAGATCATCTGCGAAAAATTCCCAAAAATGAAAAGAAATAACTGTAATAATTTATCTGTACATTGACAGACTTTTGTCCGATTTGGCTTGCCATACTTATCTGCATTATCTGACAGATATCCAGATATCTATTGGATATCCGTTCATTTTTTTTAAATTATATCCGAATACTTAAGGATGATTTGCAAGTGATACAAATCACATGAATTGATTTATATTATTGATCTTTCATCCTTGATGTATTTAATGCAATTGCGTTACTAATTTGAAGTACAAAAAGGAGCAAAAGGGGCTAAATTATAATGCATTCTTTTTACCTTTAATAATGTGTTCTTTGCATTATCATAATTCATATGACCTTTTGCGCAGTAACTAACAACTAAGAGACTGTTCAGATATAGGAAAAAGGAAAGTCAGAACTAGAAAAAATAATAAAAGTACTAAAATGACCAATATAACAGAAGAAGTAGAAAGGATAGAACATGCTTAACTTTAGGTGATACCATTGAGAGAAATGAAAATGAACCACAAATTCAAGCTAATGGTAGTATAGAATTAAATGAAAATGAGGATACTATAAATCCTAATAATACAAATATTACAGAACCAGATAATGTGGAAACAGATGCCAGACAAGAAGATAATACAATTCAATTAACTAATAATTGAAATAGTTTTATTTGGAATTATCTGGAAAAATTATCTCCATAGAAAAACATAAGAAATGTGTCAGGTATCTTGTACCAGTTATTGGTTCTGATAGTTATGAGCAGCCATATGGGGAACAGATGGTAGTACAGAAAATTTTATTTATCATTTAACAAAACATCGTATAACACATAATACTGTTGAGAGACAATGAAATTCATTACAAAATGGCTAAGATAGCTAATGATAATTCTGTTAAAAAAGATCAATTAGATAAAAAATATGTTGGAATTATCGTAAAAGATAATTAACCATTAAGCATTTGAGATAACAGGTCATCACATAACGATATGACAAAAATATCACAGGGTAGTATGGTAAGATTTTTCATTTTTCGGTTGTATAGTACAGTTGACTAAATTTGACTAAGTATGGGAAATGTTTGTGTCAGGCAAAAATTACTTTCTTAACTCGCCTCACCTAATCAACACTGCATAAATCATCACATACTACTGCTATAAAATATTTATTTATATTATGCAGAGAGGTGATGATATGGTAATACAAGTCAAGAAAGGTAATTTATACTATAGGAATTAAATCAGTATCAGCTGTATCATAATGATTATAAGATATATAAAGTTTGCTTAGTAATCAAAATGAAACACAGATCCAGTTTTCCTTAGCTTTATATGACAACAAAAAAGTAGGCTTATAATAAATTTGGTCTTTTACTTGTTTATTAATTTTTACTTATTTTCAAAATATATATGACTTGCTTGACAAACTACATGAACCATGGATGATAAAGATCATAACAAAATTTATAAATTCTTACAGGTTTTTTTTATATGAAAAAGAATGTAGTTAAACTTATCATAGGCCGTTTTGAAAACAATAAAAAGAATCCCTGAATTCTGAAATATAAAGGGTATTATTTGGAATTTAACAAAATATTTTATAGCAGGTTTCAGAGAATTGTAATGCCTTATGGCCCCAAGGGCAAATTAGTGACTCCACCATTTATTCGTCCAATTTTTATCGTCACTGTGTGGGATGCAGTAGTTCTATTCTGGAAGTACATTATAAGTCAACCATTAAGAAAGGAATTCATGAAACAAGTTGCATTTCTGGAGAAAATGCGATCAATCCTTATGGACAAGATTCTGGACGGAAATAGGGGGATCTCTTGTCCATTTGCGATAAATTTCACATTTTTCATTTGAAGGAAAAAAATCAAGAATTACTTTTTCAGAGCATCACTTCGTGGCAAGTTTGGAGAAATGAAGGAATAGAAAAAATAGGAATACGTAAATGTCAGAAAAGCATTGAAGCAGAGAGTGGAGATGATGAAATCAATATTTTCAAATGTCAAAACCGAGAAAAAATTGACGAATCATTGCTGGGGCCAGTGCTCAGAGTCGGTGCCCTTAAGGGCTCTTCATGGAAAGAAAACTACCTCAAAACACCGTGTTATTTTGTATACCCAGACAGTAAACCTAAATGGATGACTAATACCTCCATGTTCCCAGTGTCAAATGATAATAGATTCGACTCCTCTGGCAATAATCTGTCCTTGTTTTTAGAAATGTTGGAAAACATATTAAACCGCTACCATATTGCGAACTTTCTTGATATTAAATTACTAAATCTAAAAAGTAATGATTATCTTCAAAAAGATAATATCCGCCTTTATGCAATGAATATTGCACTATGCGGTTTCAATCATATAATCATTATTGGAGAAACTTACTGTGGCTTACTTTTTCTGGATTGCTATGGACATATATTCCAATGGGACGCTATGGCTGATGCATTGGTGTTTTATGGAAATATTTTTGAAGGAGTGTTAGGAAAATCTCATGGAGTACTATGGGGCGTATCAGGAGATGGAAGTGTTTGGAAGCTATCTGGTATTTATGCATATTTTGCTTATTCTTTGTTTTAATATAACTAATTTCTATTCTTTTAGATTTGAATTTGCCAGAAGAATGCAATTCTCATCCTGTAAGTAACAAGAAAAAAAGTAAGAAAAAAGGCAAGAATAAGAACCAAAAAAGCGTTACTAATAAATGATTTTTAAATTCGTTATATTTTATAATAATAATAATAATATATATATATATAATATTTTAATGGGCTAGATAGTTATTATAGTTATTCTTGCAATCATTTAATACTGTAAAATACATGTATAGTTATTCTTGTAATCATCAAATACTATATATTTGCTTTAAAAAAAAAATAAAATATGCTATTAAAAATTAATTATCTCTTGGAAAAAGTTGTCAGAAAAGAACGCGTATTAACTTATTAAATATTTGAATATTTAACTACTTCTTGTCTAGAACTTCGTACTAGTCATTATTGTATCTATAATACACAGCATAGCATAGTATAGTTATTAGAGTAATTAATTATTAGATAATTATAGTAATATTGTGGGATACAATATTTCAAGAAGGAGTATGCAAAATTACAACTAATAATTAATAAAAATAATCTCATTTTATAATTCAATATAACAAAAATACTACGGTGTACCATTTGGACGAAAGTGCCAAAATTTTGAAATCGAATTTTTGAATTTTCAAAATCTCCTTATAAGAAAAATTTCCTTTTATAGCAATGTAATGTTACATAAATGTCGGAATAAGAAAGTTCATGTGACAAAATTTCATATAACATAGATCCATTCTATAAACGTAAAATTTCCTTAAAAGGCAATTTTCAAAGTTCAAAGACCCTTTTCATTTCTGAATAATATTGTACCCAAATATGTAAATGTAACCTGATAGTATGGTAAAGTCTTAGGCGTAGTAATTTATTTTTAAATTTTTATTGACAATAAAATTTCCGATTTTGATCACAGGAAATTGTTAAATAATAATAACAATTATTAAATTTTGTTAATAAATTGTAATTAAAAAACTCAACTTTATTTTTATTGAATTTCAAATGAATATACAAAAAAATTTTATGTTCAATAATACTTTTCCTATTCATTATCAATTTTCATTTGAACAAAAAAACGTGTATGATTTATTTGACAAGCAGTTACAATATGACGAATTTTTAGAACCAAATGAAATAAACAACATTGGTTAAATTCTGCTGAAACAAAAACAATTTAATACTGGTCAGACTCTAAAATTAAAACATTACTATCTTATCTTTCTGAAAATTTTGATTATTATCATACAAATAAAACAAAATTTCATGCTAAAGTTGCTATAAAAATTGGAAATAATAGAACTAGTGTACAAATTAAATTTAAACTTCAGGCATTAATTACAAAATTTGAAGAAAACTGAGAAAAAACTGGTAAAGAAAGATCAAAGTGACTAAATTTTGATGATATGAACAAAATATTTGAGAATAGAGAAAATGTTTGTTCTGATTATTTTATATTCAATATTAATTCTGATAAGGTATTAACATATTTTAATTATTGTAAGTTACTTATATAATTATTCAACTAATTTTAATTTTATTTATTACAGCTGGTAGCCTAATATTAGTAATGGAAATAATAAATTAAAAAAAAGAAAAATCTCTGAAATTGATCAATTTTATTTATCTGCATTTGATTTACTTTATAAAACAAAAAAAAAAGAGCAATTAAAATTGAACAAGAGTAATTAAAAATTGAACAAAAAAGGTTTGTGAAAAAAAAAAGGTGGAAAGAAAACATGATATAAATAAAACAACAAATTACAATGAAAAAGAGAAAAATTTAAAACAAACAAAATTATAATTTATAAATTCAGATTGGAATTAGAAAGAATAAAACAAGAATTTGCTTTAAAAGCTAAAGAATGTAATTAAAATATAAAAAAATTAATAATTTTGTATGTTTAATTATTTGAATAATTATTAATAATATTTTAATAATTACAATACAATATCCATTAAATTTTGCCTTTTAATCTTTCCTGCTTTTTTGATTACTTAGGATATCTTAAATTATTATATATATACATATCTTAACACTAATCCTAATTTTTTTGGAGTAATCCCAGATTTTTGTAGTATACTAATCACATGTACAATCAGCTAAATTGATAGTATTTTAATTGGCTAACCAAAATAATTTTTTTTTTTTGATTTTAATATATTTGCATAAAATTTTTTTAATAAATTTATGCATTTTATTTAGTTTTTAAAATGTTTACTTATTTTGTCTTCAACGTTATTAGAAGAATATTATTCTCAAAATAGTATACTTCAGTATATTTCTGCTCGTTTCTATAATAATACGCAGTTCAAGATTTCAGGCAATTATTTAATACAAACAAACTGGGGTAGGGGTACTTCTAAATATGTATACAATGTGAAATTAATTATATAGAAAAAATACCAGTCTTTAAAATTTTATTTGGAGAAAATTTTCAATTATATATTATGAAATCTACTCAATTAGCAACAAGTGCTGCAAATGCATATTTGCAAGTAAGTTGTGATAAATAAAGTTTGACATAGAGTTCTGAATGAGTCAAGTCAGGTCAGATTAATTGATAAATCTGACCTGAAATTTTTTTTTTCAGATCAGGTCAAATTAGATTATATCAGATTATCTGTTTGATCTGATCTGAACTGAAACCTGAAAATTTTCAGAATTTTTATTAAAATATTAAAAAAAAATGGTGTAAACCATTTTTTTCAAAATATCATCAGTAATTTTTTTGAGGCGCGGATCCTTAGGGATTCCAAAAATCCTGTAATTAGTAAGGATCCTTAAGGATATTTACTATTATATTTATTTTATATATTTATCAATAGATTTATTATTAATTTATTTATTTATAGATTTATTAATGTATTTATTAATTTTATTTATATATTATTACATATTTTTTTGAATTAATAAAATATAAAACAATAATTAGTTTTGATTACAAAGAAAAAAGGACAAATCATCTAAGAAAAAAAATAACGAACAGTTAGAAGTGTTCGTTAAATTAAAAAAAAAGTTGAAATAATTTTATTATTACTTGCTGGTATCCATGACCTACTTGAACGCATTTTTTCTTCTGTCTTTCTACTTTTCACCCTGTAATAATCAGAGACTTGAACTCGTCTAAAAAAAAAAGAAAAAGTGAACAGTTAGTAATGTTCATTAGTATAAAAAATTGAAAAAAATATTTTTTTTTACTTACCAGTCCTACATTATCTTACAAAAACAGTCTAAAATATGTAATAAGTGTTTACCTTAAGAAGTGCTCCAAATAGAGAAGCAAAAAAACTACGAGCTTTTTCGTAATATTAATACCGGTAGGCAATGTCAAGAGGATGGTCGTATTCATCAATTAGGATGATACACTCTTTTCTGTGATAATCTTTTAAATACCTAGAAAGGTCAATGAGAACATCATCTATGCGTTTACAATTCTCATATTTAGACCGTATTTGACTGAAATGTGTCTTCTCATACAGGTCAAGTTTATCATAAATATAATTATGATTTTTGTACAGCATTGCCAACATTCCAAATAGTTTGATTTTCATCTTCGACTAAATTTTACAGCCATCGAAATTCTGCAAAGAAAACGTAAAAAAAAGGCAGATCAACAAAACAATTCATAGTAGCAGTCTGGATGCAAATAACACTATACATTCAGAGAGAGAAAGATGACCAGGTACTTGCAAAAATGTGTGTCAAAAAGGCTCTGTTTCTCTGTAATTTTCGTGCCTACGAACAATTCACAATGGTAATCCATATTGTCTGGGTGGATGGGAATCGAAAAAAAATCTTTAAGCATCGTAAGGTTAATTATTTTTCCAAACCGCTTTAGTTAAACGAAAAGAGAGACTTTTGAATTGCACTCAATAAAATCGGAGATCAGAAATGTTTTATCAAGAAAAGTGCAACCTCTGTTCACAATTTTGCTAAAGCTGTCCCAGCCAATGGGTATGCTTTTTCCTGCAGAGAGTCATTAAGAAAGAACAAAAAATCGCCTAAAAAAAGAAAAAAAATGAATAATTAATAATATTTGTTAATATAGAAAAAATCAAAAAAAAAAATAATTATTTTACTTACATTAAGTGAGACTTAAAAAACTGCCTAAAAAAAGAAAATAAACGAACAATTAGTAATGTTCGTTAAAATAAACAAAGAAAAAAAATTTTGTTTTACTTACTAATATCCCAAGTTCAGAGAGTCAGAGAGATTCAAACTCTACTTAAAAAAAGAAAAAAAATGAAAAATTAGTAATGTTCATTAAAATAAATAAGGAAAAAATTTTTTTTTACTTACCGATATCTCAAGTCCAGAAAGAATTGAACAAACCAACTAAAAAAAGAAAAAAAAATGAACAGTTAATAATGTTCATTAATGAAAAAACTTAGAAAATTTTTATTGAAAAAATATTGCATCTAGAAAATTTGTACCTTATATTACTTGTCGATATCACGTCCACAGTAACTTGAAGAATCCGCCTAAAAAAAGAAAGAAAAATAAACAATTAGTAATGTTCGTTAATATAAACAAAAAGAAAAAAAAATTTTTTTTTCTTACTTGCCGGTATTTCACATCCAGAAAGACTCGAAAATGCCTAAAAAAAAAAGAAAATAAACGAACAGTTAGCAATATTCGTTAATATATAAAAAATTGAAAAATTATTTCTGTTTTACTTGCTAAATGTTCTGTTTGAATACCCAAAAACCCAGTTATCTAAAAAAAATCAAACAGTTAGTAAAAGTTTGTTAATAAAAAAAAATATTTTTCTTTTACTTGCTGAAATTTACATCTGAAATTTACATTCAAGTACATTTCATTAAAATAAAAAAAAATTTAAAAACAGTTTAAACTTACCAAAATGCCACGTATTAGAAAAATATGAAAACCTAAAAGAAAAGTCTAAAAAATAGAAAAAAGAAAACAAAACATTAGTAAATGTTTCATTAAAATAAAACTTTTTTAAAAAATAACTTACTGCAAAAAAATCCGTCATGAACATAAAATTGATGAAATATAAATTAAAAGAACTGTCTACAAAAAATAAAAAATAAATCGTTAGAAACTGTTTATTAAAATTATTAAGAAATAAAGGAAAAAAACTAATAAAAATCTTACTGGAATATCATCTCCAAAGAAATCTGAAAAACCTGTCTAAAATAAATAAAAAACAAGTAATTAGAAACAGTTTGTTAAAAGAAATAATTAAAAATAAAAAAAACACTAAAAATCTTACCGGTATTGTCTAAAACATTTCATTACAGAATGAGAAAGGAAAGAACAGGGTGATGGAAAAGGGAAGGAGTGAAAGAGGAAGAAGGTTAGAGATGAAAGGATTCGTAATACTATATCAGATTATAAATGGCTGATCTAAGATTATATCACGTGATACACATGATACAATTTTATGGGTTTGGTTTTTTAGGTATTAGGTTTATCAGTAAATAATTTCTAAGGATTTTTAATATAGAAATCCTTAAGGATCTGATAATTCATAGAATCCTTAAGGATCTTTACAATTCATTTAAGGATTTTTAAGGATTTCTTAAATTGCCAGATCCTTAAGGATTCTGAAGTAATTTAAGGAATTCTTAAGGATCCATAACCCAAAAAATTTACTAATGAAATTTAATAAATTTTATTAAAATTTTATGCAATGTGTATAATTTTGAATTTTTATAATAATTTTAAAATTATATGCATCCTTGCATTTTTGTGCGAATGTGTAGAAAAACAAATCCAATTTATAAAATCTAAACATTTATAAATATAATTTTTTATTTATTATCTGAAGTATAAGGACATTCTACTTTTACATATTTCAAATGCAATGTCATTCTGTACTATAGTCTGATTGATGAATAAAATTTTGTATTACATATATACAAATTTAGCTGTGTTATATTGATATTAATTTTGCATAGTTAAAAAATAATATACAAATACATAACTCTGTAAACTTTAATAAATAAATAAGTAAAACTTTAAGTAAAAAGGATTAAACTTTTACTTATTTTGATAGAAGAAGTATTGTTAAAAAAAATTATATTAAGGGTAAAAACTGATTATATTGTGACTTAGAATGAAAGTCTTTAGTGAGATATTTTAGATAAATATTATATAAAAATTTTTAGGATATATAGAAAACATATATTACACAGTAAAATTCGATATAACAGAACTATCTGTTTCAGTAAAAATATCTGGTATATTGAGACTTCTGATATATCAAAAAATTTTGATATACCAGATTATATATATAAATCACATGTAAAGCTCTAATCGGGTCAGTCCTAATCCGATAACTCAGACTGAAAATTTGGATTGATTCAGTCTGGGTTGAGTTTTCAACCCAGACCAAAATATTTGGTCCAGTCTGGTTCAGTTTCGGATTATAAATCTAACTCAGATTGAATTAAACGGGTTAGGACCAGACTGGACCGATAAATATTTTCGCAATAGTTTATATTAAAACCATTGTGATTATTTAATTATTAAATAAAAAAATGTCACGTAACATTTTTTTTAACATATTATTATAAAAAAATGTTTGCGCAACGTTTTTTTAATTAATTTAAAGAAAAAACATTGCGAAATATTTTTTCTTAATATATTTAATTAAAAAAAATGTTTGCGCAATATTTTTTTAATTAATTTAAAGAAAAAATGTTGCGCAACATTTTTTCTTAGTATATTTAATTAAAAAAAATGTTTGCGTAATGTTTTTAATTAACTTAATGAAAAAATGTTGCGTAACGTTTTTTAATATATTATTATAAAAAAACGTTTGCGCAACATTTTTTTAATTAATTTAACGAAAAAACATTTTCACAACATTTTTTTAATTAACTTAACAAAAAAATGTTGCGAAACATTTTTTCTAAATAATTATAATTAAAAAAACGGTTTCACAATATTTTTTATTATAAGATCAGACCAGACTGGACTAAAATAACTGGTCTGGTCTGGTCTGGTTCCGGATTCTTCTTTTAATATAAACTGAACTGAACTGAAATGAACTAATTTTTCGGTCTGGTTCCAGATTACTCTCTAACCTGGACCAATTCGGACCATTTAGAGCTTTAATCACATGCTTAAATACATGTAACTTTTTACAAAAAATCAAAATACTTAGTGAGAAAAAGGTTAGTTTAACAAGAAATCAAAATATTTAGTGAGAAAAAGGTTAGTTTAATAATAAAATTTTTATTAAATCCATGATTTTTATTTTTTTATATAGTTTTGTCTATATTAACATTGCAAAAATTACATGTTTAAGTTTAATTTTAACAGCATAAAAAGAATATTTGATGTAAATTACATATTGTAATCAAATAATAAATAAGTATTTTTCAAATTTAAAAATCTTTTATATATTAAATAAAATGTAAAAGTCATCTTAATAAAAATTTTTCAATATATATCCAATTTTAATAAAAATTGACACACAAAGACTTTAAAATATTTTGAATTTATGTGCAAAATTTCAGTATATATTATTATATGGGATAGAGCAAAAATTTACTATTATACAAATTTCATAGTAAAAAAGTTCCTATGCCGAACCAGTGTTTGATATTATAATTTATATATACAAAAAAATCAACTGTATAATACATATTTAGCTAATTATATAATATATGTTTTTGTAACACCCAAATTTTTAATATAATCAGAAATTTGATCAAACTGAATCATTTTTATGTTTTTAAATAAAGTTACTAAAATAATCTTCTTTAGAACAGGTATTTAAACTACATTTTCATAGTCTATATTAATTATGACTGCATTGTAAAAATATTAATAGATTAAGTGTAACAATTTTTTTTTTAGTATTAAATGTAAAATTATTCAGACACTTCAACAATTTTCATTTCCTAGTCAATTTTAAAATTATGATTTTATTACCATTAAATATGCCTTAATAGAAGGAATTTAACAAATATAATGTTATCTTTCTATAATTACTAGATCTTAAGATATTTTAAAAATTTAAAAATTTTTAAAATTAATTTTAGCTTTTACAGTTCAAGGGGAATGTGTAGTCATGTGATTTATAATAAGATTATTAATGGCGTAAAAATTTAAAATATGAAGCCCAAGAACAAAGTACTTTAGTTTGAATAATTATGTATTATTTTATTATTTTTGTAAATATATGTAAAAACATACCTATAGAATACAAATATATTAAATTAATTAATGATAAAATGCTTTTTTGTTAAAAAAATAATATTATGTTTTTCAGTAGAAAGATTCTAAACTTTCACTAAACGATTTGCAATTTTTTTGGAATTTCTTTTGATATTTTCTCTAAAATATAATATTTAAGTCTAAATAAAAATTATACCTGGTGAACTTTCAGATTCCAAAAGGTAAGAAATTAATATATTTTTTTTTAAATATTTAGTAACAATTTACAAATGTTTTATTAGATATGGATGTTCTGAATAGCACAAAAAAATTTTTGCGCCATGATAGTTAATTAAAAGTCATGTGATCACACTTTTCTCTTAAGGGATAGTATTTATAATAAAAAAATTTTGCTTCTAAAATTACTATATCTTTAAATATTTAAGTAAAATTGTTTAGCAAACTAAAAATTACCTATAATTAGACTTTTATTAAATTCAGATTTTTGCTAAATTTAAACTTTTACTAAATTTAAATAAATATTTATAGAACTACAAGTTTTTATAACAATTTATATTGCATTTTTTTTCTTATAGTTTATTTTAAGCATTTTAATTAAAGTAAAATGCTTCTGGAATCTGGATATTTAAGTAAAATTGTTCAGTAAATCCAATTTAAATTTATATAAAGTTATAATAAAGTAATTATGTTACATCTTTTTTTTTAATTTTACAGTATATTTTAAGTATTTGAATCAAAGTAATCAATTCTAGATGTTTAGAAAAAACTCAGCAGATCCAAAATCTTGCAACTTAATTTTATTAAGATTAGATAAATACTTAAAAAGTCATTTATATTTTTGTAGTAAAACCAATTGTACTTAATAAAATTTTAATAAAAATTATCTATCTGTTTAACATTGTGAATTTATTATTTTTAAATGTAATTTCATTAAATAACTTTGATTTATAATAGTTTATACATGTAATGTTAAATATTAAAACAAAAACATAACTATAAAAATATCTCTAAATTTTTGGTCAATTAAATGTTTGATAATTCGGGCCGAAATTAAAAGTCACGTGGGGTAAAAAATTTTTGGGTAGAGTATCATGTGATAGATTGTAGTGCACTAGTGCCACTAAAATCTATTTTAAAATTCTATTAATACAGAAAATTGTCAATACTGAAACTGGTTTAACTCAAAATAGATTTGGATTTAATAGCTTAAAATTTGATTGCCAAAATCAAAAAACAGTTTATAGTTTGTATATCTTACGTACTACATTTTGAATAAATTGCTATACAAATCTTTAATTTATTCAGATTAATGATCATTATATGAATATGCTAAATGTAAATATATTATTCTACGACATCTTCATTTACGAGAATTTCTTATAAATATCTTACTAGAAAAAATCCCTGTAAGGACAATTCCTTAAAAAAATAAAATGTTCACCTTAAAGAAATGAAATCCAAAAGGATAAAAAATATGTATTTAATTGAAAAATTACAAAATTCTAATTTGATAAAAAGAAACTTATAGCTAATTGGGAGTCGAAAAATTTTAAATTAAATCTTTGTCTGGAGAACAAATAATAATAAAACATCGAAGTAACTTACTAGTTGAATAAATAAAGACTATGCCGGATTTTCCTTGGCTTGTTGTCTTATCCTCTTCTCATATGCTGCCCGGTCTTTCCTGAAAATAAAAAAAAAGTCGATATAAAACAAAATATCAATAACTAATCAAATTTAATGTTTTATAGTTCATACTTATATAACATATAGGCATCCGATTGCGCAGGACTATCCGGATTCGGTTCATCAAGAAGATTTTGTATTCCCAATAGAATCTACAATTAATTAATGATATAAGTATAATACAAATATAAATGAAATAATTTGTCAATTTACCTGTTTAATTGTGATTGCGGGCTTCCATCCTTCTTCCTCATTTAGGATTGATAAACAAACGGTACCGGATGGATAAACGTTAGGATGAAACAACGCTGGGCCAAATTTACCTACAAGAAATATAAAGATATGAAAGGATAGAATCCATAATAAAGTGAAAATTAATCCGATTTAGCAAGAATCGTATACTTCAACTTTTGTTTCTTGGTTCTTGTAAAAGGTCTTACATTTAGGAGGCTTTGAAGGGTAATCTGTAAGAAAATAATGTTATAAAGAAAGGAAATGGATATATCGAACGTTTGATTCATTCGTTTATAATTTTCATCCTAATTATAAATCAGAACATTCAAAAAATAAAAAAAATTTCAAAAAATAAATTTTTAATAAATTAAAAGCATTACCTTCGGGGAAAGTCATCACCATCTTATATACACCATTCTCCCAAGGAGTCTAGTATAAATTAAGCGGCTTTAGATTAAAGATAGTCTTCATAATATAAACTATATCCGTGTTCAATTAAATAAACGCGTCCAACCAAATTGTCCTTTACTAATTAAAATGAAAAAGTTGATCGCTTACTCCTTTCTTCCCAGGAATTCCGACTTGCCAAGTTAACAGATCCAAGCCAGTTTCATTTTTGACAGGTCGAGCGTAAAAACCCTTCAATAATAGATCAGCTTTAATATTTAAATTCTAACAAAATGAAATGAAGAGCGGTTTACTTACGTAAGGATGATCTTTACGCCATTGGCGCCGTTCTTCCATGAGCCTATTTTTGCAAATACTTGACATTGCGAATATATTTTTGAATTTTTATGAATTTTTATGTGAATATTGTTTATACAAAACGGAGTATGAAATGTAGAATAGAGAAAAATTCGTGTGACGTTAAAGATATTAGTCACATGATAAGTACCACGCGGTCACATGACTTTTGGCCTAAATGTGTTTATCACGTGACTGCAGATTTTGATAGATAAACCCAAAAAGATTATCGTCGTTGCGACGTTGCAGTCTTGAATTGGGTTTTGCGAGTTTAATTATGACGAATTTTGAAGTAATAAAATCAATAGAAACAGATTTTGATATTAAAATCACGAAATTTAAATCAAAGGTCACAGGATTAACAGTAATTCTTGTTGACCGTCAAGGTATTTCGTTTCAAAAATAAATGTGTCATTTGCGACTTTATACTAATATCATTTTTCTAATTATTGTTATATAGCTCCTTTAGTTGATGGATATTTCACAATTGCTACTGAGGGTATGAATATAATACTAATTAGGTTAATCCATATTTTTTTTTTTAATAAACCCATATTAATTTCAATAATATTAATTAAAGCTACCGATGATGATGGATGTCCTCACACTTTAGAACAGTATGATTTGTTTCTTTTGTTTTAGCCGATATTTGGTACATTAAAGTAAATAAAATAAATCAAAATTTTATTCTTTATATTTATTTTAGTTTGGTGTTTCTCGGTAGTGAATTATTCCCTTACAAGGTATAATAAATATCATTTTGGTAATAATTTTGTTTTTTTTTCTTTTAAATAATAAATTTAATATTTAGGGAGTATTAGATTTACTTGCAAATAGAGCATTTGCTAATGGAACAAATGCATGGACAGCAACAGATCATACGTGTTATACGATTCAAACAGCGGGAAGTCAAGGATTTTTAAATTTATTACCTATTTATGTGGATCATATTCTTTATCCTACGTTAACTGATAGCGGATGTTATACTGAAGTTCATCATATTAATGGAAAAGGAGAAGATGCTGGGGTTGTCTATAGTGAAATGCAGGTAATTATTATTAATAACCACGTAATTGATAACAATTTTTAACCGACTATATTTAATAGGGCCGAGAAAATTCTGGAGAAAGTCGCGTTTATTTGAGGTAAATTAAATAATTTAATCAACAAAATATTAATATTAATTAAGCCGATAATACTTTTGACATTAGATATCAACGATTAATGTATCCAGAAGGATGTGGCTATCGCAGTGAGACTGGTGGCCTTATGGAAAATCTAAGAGTTCTAAATGTAGAAACTATCCGTCAAGTAAGTATAAGTTTACCAAAATATTTTTAACTTTGAATAATTCAATTTAATTAATATGTTATTATAGTATCATAGAGACTATTACAAGCCGGATAACTTATGTTTAATCATTACTGGGAAGATTTTACACGATGAATTATTCAAAACACTTGATCCACTTGACGAGAGAATTTCCAGGAAAAAATCTCAAATTCACAAAAGGTAAGAAAGTTGACTAGCAGTACTTATAAAAGCAACAAATTAACAATAATAGTATTACTTTATATTCATTAGACCATTTGTAGATTCGGCACCAATTCCATTACTCGAAAAATCTATTCAGGAAGTAGTTGAATTTCCTGATGAGGATGAGAGTATGGGTCAAATAGTTATTGCTTGGTTAGGTCCATTAATCGACGTAAATATTATTAGAAATGTATAAAATTATCTGTGATCGTTTCTATTAATAATCAATCACTTTTAATATATTAGGAATTCTTAGAAATTAATGCATTAGAAGTTCTTCATACGTATTTGTCAGATTCGGCAGCATCAGTATTGCAAAAGGAATTTGTAGAGATCAAAGATCCATTATGCACAGGTAATGTGAATAATTTACACTGAATATTTGAACTACTATTACTTACTACTTCACTTTTTTGATATAGATATTTATATAATGATTGAACCTCAGACACGTACAGCCATATTAGCTACTTTTTCTAATGTTCCTACCGAAGAACTAGAAGAATTGGCAAATAAGGTGCTCCAAAAATTTACTAGAATTGTTGAAAGTGAAGGAATCGATATGGATCGTATGAAAACTGTTATACAGTTGGCTAAACTAAGGGTAATTTATCATTACTTAAAGATGTTTTCATCTGCTGTAGTAGTTATTAATTAATGTCATTTTTATTATAGATCTTGGATAAAATTGAAACAAGTTCAAGCTATTTCTCCGATGCCAGTATCGTAGGTTGGTACCATGTAAATATTACTTTCCTGAGTGCTTCTCATTTTAATTTTCCTTCTCTTCAATAATTTCATAGATCACGTATATGGTAAACGAACAGGAGAAGATTTAGAAAGAGCTACAAAAGACTTGAAATATTATGATCAATTGTCCGAATTTACTGAGCAACAATGGATACAATATTTAAAAAAATATCATTTAGATAATCATCATATAACACTGCTCGGTAAACCTTCTGCTGAATTTGCTGAAAAATTAAGCAAGCAAGAAGAAAACCGTATTGAAAAGCAGAGAGAAACATTAGGAAAAGAAAAATTAAACGAATTAGAAACCCGTTTAGAAGAGGCCAAAAAATTAAATGATGTACCTGTACCCTCTAATATTATTGAAGATTTCCCTATACCTAATGTTGATAGTATTCCTTTCATTAACGTTATTACTGGCCGCAACAAATCTGAAGGGAAATTGTACGTATTTAACTTAATAGCGAGAATTTTGATATAATTCTACTAAATCTATACTGACTTTTCTAGCAAAAATCCGGTTCAAAAATATCTCGATCATGATTCAAAAATTGACATTCCTTACTTTATTCAATACGACCGTGAGTACCTCAAACTATTCGAATTTAGTATATTTTATATTATATTTGTCTAACTATTTTTGTTCCTCAGATATTAATTCTGCGTTTGTAACAATATCGCTATATATTATCACCACGAATATACCTTTCGAATTACGGCCTTATATAAATATGTATCTTGGATCATTTTATTCGCTTCCACTTAACCTTCCCGATGGAACTAAGTTAACATTTGAACAAGTGGTTTCACAGTTGAATAAAGACACCGTGAAGTATGATTCTTCTTTGGGATATAACGGAAATTTTCAACAAATAGTTGATTTCAGTATCAAAGTTGAAGCTAGTAAATATGTTAAAGCTATTCAATGGTTAAACTATTTATTATGGCATACTGAATTCACAGCCGAGAGGTACCTTTAACTTTTTTGTGTCGAGTATATATTTTTGCCTTTTTTTTGTACATTTAAACGGCTTTACTTTTTTTCTTTAGGTTAAAGATTGTCGCTTCGAAAATCTTGAATGAGATTCCTGAAGCAAAACGTGATGGTTATGATGTAAGGTTTTTTTTTCATGTCTTAAGGTTTTTTATTATATATCTTATATTTTTCCTTTACTATCTAATTATGTAGATGACATCAACAGTTATGCAATTAATTAATTTTGATGAAAAATTATCAAATACATATCTTTCATCTACCCTTTATCAAGAGAAGTTTTTACCTAACGTTATTAAAGAATTAAAAGGAAATGGAGCTAATCAAGTTATTCAAAGATTTTATCAATTTAGAGAATTGTGTAAGGATACATATTTAAGGAGGAATAATTTTTTTGAAAATAACTAATAATAAATTTTTTACTTAGTGACTAAACCTGAGAATTTGAGGATTCATGTTTACGGAAATATTTTAAAACTCGCTAATCCTAAAAGTGTCTGGAATGAACACTTTAAGATAATTGAAGTAATTATTTATTTGTTGCTAGAATACATTATTTGTATGAAGTAGCATATTAACATAAATTGACTTTATAGGCCCCTAAATCATTAACGCCTGTACCTTTATCTCAACAATTTTTGACTGAATTTGGAAGAAATCCCGGAAATCAAGTATTATATTTAATTAATTATATTAGTATTTACTGTGTTAATATTAATTGTTATTTTTTAATTTATAATTTATTATTGTAGGGTTTTATTGTTAAACTACCAGCTATTGAAAGTACATTTTCAATGCATACAGCTGAAGGTAAGTATAAATTTAAACAAATACATCAACTCTTTATGATACAACTCATGGACAAGTTGCCAAAGAGTGGGTGATTAGAGTGCATTTATAAAAAGTAAAGCAATTAGAAATTTCCATATCTTCTTTTCTTCCAATGATTAATTTCTCTCGAACGAATCATTCTGAAATTTTTACATTTGACATTCCTGGGTCCAAAGTTATCATTGTCACATTTTTTTTTCAATGATTAACTCCTCGAGACTGAGCTTTTAATTTCTTGTTTCTCTTGCTTTTTATAGGACCATCGAGCTTTGATTCACCAGATCTTGCGTCATTGCTTGTATTATGCGAATTACTACAAGCCACGGAAGGTTTATTCTGGAAATTAATTCGTGGTCAAGGTTTAGCTTATTCTACTAACTTAAAAGTTGATGTAGAATATGGTAATTTCTTTCACCCTATAAAATGAGAATTATTATTTTCTAATTCTTTCTCTTGTAAGCTATTTTTGTAAATATATAACGTCATTTTTTTCTGGTATAGGGCATATTTATTTTGATATTTATAAATCTCCTGACGCTTTTAAAGCTTACGAACAAGCTAGAAAAGCTGTTTTCGGTTTAGCTGATAAGAAGGTATATATATATTATTTAGAGAAATAGAAGAAATCCTTTTTTTATTATAAAAACTGTTAATTAATTTAGTTAATTGTTCTTACAGATTGAGTTTGATAAAGCTGGATTTGAGGGTGCTAAAAGTGGTGTTATCTATAGTCTTGTCAGAAAAGAGGTATGATAAAAGAATGAGATGGGTAATTTATTATTAAATTAACTTTTTTATTATTTTGAATCTTTAGGGAAACATTTCTAAGGCGGTAGGTTTAGTTATCTTTATTTAAAATTTGAAAGGGTTTTTTTAAAGTCTTGAAAAATTATTGTTAGGCCATTGAGTCATTCGTAGTACAAGTGTTGAAAGATATGGACGCAGAATATAATAAAAATTTATTAGCTAAAGTTCAGGTAAAGTAATATTAATAATTTTGTAATGAATTCTGACTTCTCATAATAATTAACTCTTCTGTATTTTTAAAAATATTTAGGCTGTTAATATAGAAGATTTATATCCAATGTTAACAAAATATTTAGTAAATCTATTTAAGCCTGAAACTTCTAACGTTGTTGTTGTTTCAACACCTGTTAAAGTTAAGGTAAATGAAAAAAAAAAAAATTACACTATGAACTTTTTAGAAAAATCAATACTAAATTTTTTTTTTTTGAATCAGGATGTTGAACAAGGATTTAATGGTCACGGGTTTAAATTAAAAGTTAAAAATTTAGATTCTATTATCGAATAATTGATATTAAGAAAATAATTGATAATAATAGATATTAAAATGATATATTGTCAATTACATTATTTAAGTAGAAATAATTTAAAAACCGTTATTTGAGGCTGTAAAAACATAAGATAAATCAACAGGACCTTGTATACAAGATAAAATAATGTCTTTCGGATCCCTAACTACAAAAATAAAGTTATAAATTAATCTTTAAAAAAATTAATCTTTTACAAATAATGACATACTTATTAGTTGATAAAGACAAGTCTTCGGTGGTTTATCAAGATTTTCAGGAGATGATTCTTTATTGCTGTAAATATTTAATCCATAAGTAAATTCATAATCTCCAATAGGTAAAGGACATTTTTCATTTGTTGTTTCTACAATTGAACAAAAATCATCTTTCGTTTCCAGTATTGTTTCATAATTTTCATCGATTATTAAAAATCCTATTGTGGAGCCTTTAAGGATTTCTACATTTCGTGTTCCATTAAATGTATATGAGGCGCTTTGTCCTATTACTAATGGATTAGGAGATATTAGTATATTTGTTATGGTATTTGGATAAGGTCCTCCTTCACATTCAGTAAATTTTGTTTGATCGGTTTCATCGGATAATAGAGGACTGACTGTAGTTATTGAAAGTGAAAGTAAGATACATAAGATATAAAATTTCATGACAGTAAAGCGGGTATTGGGATTGAAAATGTATTATTGGCTGGTTGGATAAATCTTCAAAATTGAAAATCATGCATTATGTGGCACAAAATACTAGAAATGATTTATCATTATTGACCTTAAAATGAATAATTCTGATTTGTCAATTGAAGGCAAAAGCATTTGTGAGGACACCGATAATTTAATTAAAGATTCAACAGTTAACATCGAAAATGATCAGGAATTTTTGGGCTGGACACCATACGAGAAATTTAAACAAAACATAAAAAAATCTTGCAAACTAATGATAAGGTTATATCTGTCGGTTAAGAGACGGATATTTGGGCGGAAAAAGCTGGGAAGAGTAATTTTAATAGTGATATTGTTAGTGACGCTGTGGAAGTTGTGGAGGTAAGTTTGTGGATATATAAATATATAAGTGATATCAACTTGTCTAATATTTAAGTAGTATAACCAGCTTGCCACCAAACGACGTATCGCAACGAAAGATATTTATTGCAGCAAATTTTTATAACAATGAAGATATATTACCAAATTTTAGTGAGCAACTGTTGGAACTTGTGCAAATATTGGGACCAGAGAACGTTTACATATCGATATTCGAGAATGGTGAGTTTGCATATTAAAAGAATGTAATCTTTCGAGTTAATTTGCAATATTAACTTATAATGCACACAGGCAGTAAAGACAACACCAAACTCTTTCTCCAAACCCTTCAATCCACTCTTAATAGTATAGACATAGCAAACACCATAATTATAGACGACACGCCAAAATATTATATTGGTAGAAGAATACCTTATTTAGCCAACCTACGAAATAGAGTGCTAGAACCATTACTTGAACAAGCAGAGAAAGAAAATCATTTTGATAAAGTTCTATTTTTCAATGATATAATATGGAAAGTATCAGACATTTTAACATTATTGAGGACAAATGGATATAGTTATGATGCTGCATGTGCCATGGATTTCTACTGGACCTTTTATGACACTTTTGCCACAAGAGAACTACCATCACCTAACATAAGCTATCCCTGGCCTCCTACCCCCTATTATCCCTTCTTCTATGACACAACAGCCCAACAACAAATATACAACGGCGAATCAGTGCAGGTATTCAGTTGCTGGAATGGTGTGGTGATTATGAATGCCGAACCATTTGTGAAACATGGTATAAAGTTTCGGGCACTAATGCCGCAAGATAAGGAATTACCTTTTGAGGCGAGCGAGTGTTGTTTAATTTTTAGTGATTTCAAAAAGGTTGGGTATGATAAAGTGTTTATCAATCCAAATGTGAAAGTGTGTATGAATAAATTTTATATGAAATGCATGGATTATTTCTTTTCTTGTCATTATTATAACAAAAAGTCCTTCTTTGTTTTGCGATATCATTCAGGTTTCCTACGTATACCGTTTTTACCTTTGGTCCAACTACTTTCTTTCACTTATCGACCGATTTTTTTTTCGATACTTCAACCATCCAACACCGCCATCATTATTCTCTTATGAAGGGATACGAATGCAAGAGGTGATGAAGGATGCAGTGAGATTCAATGTGACGAAATTGGATAGAATTTGCGTGCAATAAGAAGTATTCTGCGGTTGAGGGTGATTTTAGTAATATATATTAAGAAATGTTAATATTAAGCCCATGTATAGCGATATTATAAACAAGATCACGAGTCACGTGAATGTGACTTTTTAATAACAAAAAAACCAACTCTCGGATTTATTATAAAATCTTTATTTTTTAATGAAATTTAGAGAAAAAAAATTTCTTATACCGGAAAAAATTGGTATTTAATAGGTTCAAGTCTTTCATTATCATCATCATTGCTATCATTATTGAACAATAAATAATTCCTATTCATGAATCTGAGAAACAAATTATTCTTGCTCGATGATTTTTTTCTTTCCATGAAAATTATCGGCCAACCAACTCAATTTGTTTGAACCCATAATTTTTTCCATTTCATCGATTGCCTTATCCAACCCTATATCGACTGCTCTGAGTTTAATCATTTTAATAATCTTCTTTCTTGCGGCCAAGTTACCACTATTATTAATTTGCCATTTATTACCATAAGTTTCTATTAGTGAAACAATTGAAGGATTATCACCAATTCCAAAATTCCACTCTTTCCAAACATCAAATACAGTATCAAGAGTATCGATATCAGGAATGCGGTAATATCTTGGTCTTGTTGCTATAAATTCATTGTTTCCTGTACTAAATTGTGATTCGTAACTAGCGGGAAAAGAGTTGGTCAAATTGCCAGGTGGATTATTTGAATCGTCTAAATCACACATATCATTTCTAGTATGAATAAATGTCGGAGAGGGAGAATTATCGGTTGATGCTGCAGAATGATATATCGACGATCCAGGCATATTATAAAGATTCGTTCTCAAGTCATTTAATTGTGAACCGTGTGTTGCCGCTAAGTTGGAATGTCTAGATGAACTTCCAATTGCATTAGGAGAGCTGTTGGAAGTTTGATGATATCTTGAACCTGATAAATCGCCCATAGGTGATATGATCTTTCGTGAAGAACTGGCTGTTGCAGGAGTTAATGTAACTGAATTTAACGCATTTGTTCTCGTGTATGGTCCATTCGAAGGATCCAAATTGTTTAAATTATCAGATGAATTTACCGGAGTTGTACTTAAATTGGATGCACCTACTCTTAGTCTATTCTCCGAATTATCCAACTGAGAAGGAACATTCATTTCATTTATAGGTAAAATATCAGTTGTGACATAAGTAGTTGTATTAGAATTATCCGTACTGTTTTTAGTGATACTCGTCATTGTTATTGTAATCCTCGTAGTGGTCGTAGCTGAAAGTTGTTGTTCGTTCACCTGTGGTGGCATCTGTCTGTCAGATGACGATTGTTGAATATTACTTGGATTATTAAATGAAGGAATTGATGCTGGAGGTATATGGATTTCTGGACGCATTGGAATTTCATTTCTTCGTATCGAAATAATTCTTGGTCGGGTTGAAGCATGTCTTGCAGAAAGAATATCTTCGTCAGAACTGTCAATCGGTTGGACATATTTTTTCTTTTTAGGTGGCCTCCCTTTTCTTTTAATTTTGTTCTGATTATTCCGCTGAATATTGTTTGATTTTTTAGGCATTTTAATTAAGGAAGCTGATAAAGCGCGATTATTCAAGTAAATAACGGAAGATCACATGATTTTAAGTAAGATTATTACCATTGGCTGTTGGCTGTTGTAAGCGGAAAAATATGATGACACGTATAGATTAAAATTAACAAAACATGAAAGAAAATTATAACAGTTATATGTAATAAAAAAACATTTCTCTACTAAAAAATTCTGTTTAATTACTTTACATTCAAATGTACTTAACTTTTCAACTTTTAGTCGTTCTTATTTAAGTTCACAGATAGAAAGAACTTTAATAAGGGATAAAATAATAAGGCTGAACTTCTCACACACTCTTTTTTACAGCAGATTTCTTTTCTCTCTAGCTTGTTTCTATTGATCAATAGTATTATCCGTTTTATCCGTTTGACCAGTTTTTGCGTGGATTTTGCTCTAATTACTTGTCACATGAAAATTTGCTGTGCCAGGCAATTCGCCCATCGTTAATACTTTGATTCTTGATTGTTTCATTTCCATCTTCAATTGGGATATTATATTTTTGCATGTCAAGAGTGTCTAGAAATATACCGTACATATTCTAAGAAATGTATTCTCTATAGCAAAAAATCATGAGACTTGGCCCACTTCGTGTTACTATCGTATTACATATATGCGGGTCAAAGAAAGTGATACATACATGATAAGAATGTACTTACTTTTTTCTCTCGTCTATAAGTCTATACGTTCTGGCTTTTCACCATGTTCATAAAATGTGTCAATTATAGGTTTGACCTGGTAGCTTTTTTTTCATAAAACTCGTATCAAATATAAAAGCAAATTTATATATATAATCTTGTTCGTGATATTCATATTCGGTATCTTAAGGACTATCTATTTGTTTAATATAATGACAATTTATTGTACGTTATTTCATCTAGTGTATATTTATTTTATAGTCGAGAAAAAAGAGGGGCTTGCAGGAATAAATAATATGCACATATTACATTTTGATTTGTTTACAATATATTCTTAACAGCCAAATCAAAAATATTCAGTTTATTAATTCAATTTCTACCTACATCTTATATTAAATAACATAAGATATAAAATACCAAAATGTACATTATATAATATTACTAACTGACAACTTATTTGTGCTCGTCATTACGAGGTTTTTTATATGAGAAAACACTTGTTGCCTTTGGTGATACCGTTCTTTTTACACCACTGTTTTTCAATTCTTCTTGTTCTTCTTTCCATCTAATTAATAAATCTTGGTATTCACTTTTCGACTTTTCACCCCTCTCTAACCAAGGCTATACATAACAAAAGGAATTATATCATGCATTACTATAGTCTTAAAAAAGCAATAAATTTTACAATAACTTACTCTTTTCTCCTCATTCGACATCTTTTTCCATATTTCGGCAGCATATGCTATTGTACCGCTGATAGGCAATTTTTCATTCCTTACTTTTGCACACATATCTCCACAAAAGAAACTAAACCCATTTGCTGGCCTTCGTGGTCTTCCATCTTCATAATATTTATCAAGATCCAAGTGTTTCTGGGGGTTAGATGTAGTGGTAATATCGTCCCCTTCATCTTCCCCTTTTCTTGTTCTTAATGTCCTTTTAGAGGAGGTTTGAGATTGTTTCTTCTTTGAAGGGCTGTTTGATGTAGTGGGTGTAGTTGAAATATTAGAAGAATCAGGATCAACTTTCGTTCGTTGACGAAGATTAGCACTAGGTGGCCTATTACTTCTTGTATTATGCCACCTTTTTGGATTTGGTTGTTTCAAGATCGTTGACCTGCACTTAAAATTCTTATCGTCTGGATCGTCGGAGGGTACATCCATGTCTTCCTCGTCGAATTCTATTTCAGATGATGTCTCCACTTCTCGTGCATTTTCTCTATTTTCCAAATCAGCTTTTTCCTCATCCGAATTGTTTTTGCCCCTGTTTTCATTATCATCTAATATAAAAATCAATCAATCAATTAATTAATTCAATATGTTTCATTTTCTAGTAAAATCTTTTTATCTCATACCTTGTCTGTTCATATCAGCGATACCGAGCATATTAGCTATCATATCCCACTTGTAAGTAGTAGGAGGATCTATCTTAATCACTGTTCCTTCTGGTAATAGTCTTTGTAATTCATCATATGCATTAACCGCTTTTTTTGTTATTTCATCAAATTCTAAGAGTAAATTGTCAAGCTTTTGTTTTAAAAAACATTATATATACATATATATACATATATTATTATTATCAGTTGAATTAATGCTTATACTGAATGTCAATATTATCTAAAATATCACTTACTTTATGATACTTTTCTACTATTTCTTTTGATAAATCGCTAAAATTAATTATTTCTTCTACCTTTTCCACTTTATCCATCTTTTTAACAGGTTGAGGTGATTGTGTGACATGACTAGTTGACTGATCAGTTGGTCGAATTATATGGTTGAATGGCCTTTGAATTTCGTTAGACTGAGTCTCTGCAACATTATATTGATTTGTTTGACGAGAAGTCTCATTTATCTGATTTGTAAATTGAGTCATCAAATTAGTAAGAAGATCTGTGTGACTAGTCTCAGGTTCTTGACTAGTCATTTCAGTTTCAGTAGGTTTGCTTGAAGACGCATCTGCCTGGTTTGTAGTTTTTGTAACTTTATCAGCGGATATGGCTACCTTTTTTCCTTTGTCTTTAATTTTAGGTGAAACTTGAGTCTCTAATTCATCATTTTTCTCTTTTTCATTTTCCATTTTTTCAGATGCTTCTTCACTTTTTTCTATTATATCCATTTTGGAAGTTATATTTTCATCTTTATTTTTGTGATCTTGTTCAGACATGTTTACTTGATCTAATTCCATAATATCATTTTTATCCTCCTCCGTATTAATTGTTGACAAACTAGGATATTCAGTACTTTTATTATCGTCATTATCAATATCCATAACTTGAACCTCGTTATTATTAATCTTGTTAACAGCATCATCTCTAGTTAAATTTTGTATTAAATCCACAGGTTTCTCAACAACATCAACATTCTTAAGTTGTACCTCCGCGTTTTGAAATATATCTTTAGGATTTTCAGCTTGTTCTTTCTGCACAATTTCTTGTATTTTGGGATCATTATTATCAAATTGATTCTTCTCTGGATCTTGACCTTTTTTTAAGACCACAGAATCTTTAACTAATAGTGTTAAATTATTATCATCAATCTTGTCATTAACTTGTTCTTGTTGTTTTTCACTAATTTTTCCCGAGTTTTCATTTGTAGAATTATTGTTAAATAATTGATTTTGTTGGACAAAATTTCTTTTTACAATTGCAGAATATTTCTTAATTATTTTAGAACTATTAATTGATCGTTTATTCAGATCTTTTTTTACTACTATAGTATTTACATCAGATTTTCCTAAAGGATTTTCAATAATAACTTGCTTATGTGACTGTTTTTCTTCAGCTACATGATTTTTAACACCTTCTTTAAACCTATCATCTATTACTCGTTTATTATCTTTAAATAAAATTGTTTATAATTAGAATAATAGAATAAATTTTAAAACACGATGAGAATACTTGCTGAAATTCACCTTTTTCGGACTTAATATAAAATAAATTCGATACTTTGGCCGGCAATGATGAGGATTTATTCATGAAAGTAGACTCTTTAACTAAATTCGTATCATTTGCATTCATCATGTCGACATTGTTACTTAGTTTAAAAATGTTTTTTGCTGATGTATTAAATGACTGTTTATCTGCTTGAGATAATAACCTATTTTTATATCCAGTACTCTTTAATTCAAATTTAATTTTATCATGTTTTTCTAATTTTGTCGGTTCATTATTAACATTATTATTTGTAGGTGATTTATTCATTGAAGATTTCAAAAAAAATCCATTCGTTTGTTTAGATGAAGTCGATAAAGTAACTTGAGAAGATGTATTAGATAAAGGAGGTGAGGAATATGTTTTGGAAAGGTTATTCATAGTGTTTTCCGGAAGTGGGCAAGAAGGCAATTTAGACCCTTGGAAATTAAATGGAGGAGAAGGAGGTTGAGGCTGTGCACAAGATATTTTTTTTGATGATACCGTCGAATTGACAGATGGTTTAGTACCGAATTCATTAATATGATCACTTCTATTGTTAGAAGATTGTAAGGAACCGTTTTCACTTTGAGGTGAGAGTGATGTTGAAAAAAATTTTCTATCGTTATCTAATAATTTATCTTTATTCTCATTCATAATTGAAAAATTTGATGATTTTGAACACAGATTATGTGCAGCCGTGTCTTTATAATTGTAATATCTTTCGGAAGAAGAGTCAGAATCTAACTCCATATCGGATCCGTCATATTCATCCAAGGACATTCTTTGTTATCTTAAAAATGAGAATTTTTTTCAACCACAATAACATATTTTATTATTTTTTTTTAAAGAACAAAAAAAAAAAAGAGTGAAACCAATATTAAATAAACTAAAACAAACTTCATACCTATAAAATAAAGATATAAAATAATTCTTAGAAGAGGTAAACTAAGTGTAAAACTTTAACTATTTTCAAAGAAGGGTCAGAGTGAACAAAATTTCACAATAAAGAAAAATTTCGGGGTGCTGATTTATGCGCTGTTTGTTGTGTAACTATAGTTATGCCATTTTGCCGAGATTCAATGGATCATGAGCAATTTAGGGTGAATTATGATGACGATCATGTATGTAAAAATCGCTGGTCTGAAATCTGTGCCAGGTTAGTGTCGATCACTTCTATAATAGGTATGAGTGATGTTTACGCGTCACCTAATCACGTGCAGCCACGAGTTCAAAAACACTAAGTATCTGAGGGACTTGAAATTTTTTTGTGCCAAAAATTTATTTGTCACCGTTATTTGTCACCGTGATCGACACTAACCTGGCACAGATTTCAGACGTGCGTAAAAATCACGTAATCACGTGAGAATGATTTAACCCAAAAATGGAAAATAATTTTAATTTTATTTTTAATTCTCCAAATATAATATACAATTAAAAACTATAATTGAATATTTCATATTATCTTATCGTAAAATGTTTCTTTGCCTGAAGTATATTATAAGAGGAATAATATATCCGGTCATCTTTTATTTGGTTTACCAATTTCTAAGAATAATTATAATATAAATATAAAAGCGAGTCATTGGCCTTATATAATTTCTCATATTGTTATTGTGGAATTATCATCGTATTTATTATGAAATATTAATTAAAGATCATATGTTTATGAATGATAAAAGGAAGTCCAGAAATTTGTATTCAAATCTCTCTATTCTCTACCCTCTGCCAAAACAGACAACATTTTTACAAGTCTAGAAATTCGAATACCAATAACAAAGCAAAATGAAGCCGAAAGAATCGTTTCAATAATATCTTTATCCGGGTCATATGTTAAATTGATAAAATTAATAGTAATAGCGATACTTGCTAAATGACTATATAAATTCACTAAAAGTTTCTATTATTATTATATAATAAAATATATATAAACGAAATCAATATAGATTAAATATTTTAAAAGAAAAATATATATCTTTTAAGCATAATAAAATATACCCATTTTTTACGCTCTTCCAATATTCCTTTCAAATAAGAGACTTTCGTCAAATCGTCAGGAAAGTTTTCATAAGTCATCTTCTGATTCCAATTCAACCTTTTATATGTTTTATGTAACTCTCTATTGAAAGTCGAGTCAGAAAACAGAATAGTATTAGGAGAAGTTGAAGTCGGAATGTCAGTCGGCATATTTAAGAGAAAGTTAAAAGAAAAAGTTTTTCACGTAACAATAAGGAAAAACTGGCATTTTAAATTAATCAATATCAAATCATTGATTGTTACGTGGTTGAATGGCGCAGTACAATTTTGTGTCATAATAATTATGTGAGAATGATTCTTAAATATTTAAATTTATAAGCCGTAATATCACATCCAATTTCATATAACTGATTTTTTCAGATAGAAAGATAACAAGTATATTATATATTAAGTTAAATGGTTTCATTGAGAACAAAAATATTGCATAAGTTTATAATAGGAATGCTCCAAATTTGCATATTCTTTCTTACAAGATAACAAATTTTGTTTTCTATATGGACCATCAAATAATATATAAATTTGGCCTAATCGAACTTCCGATTTAGCATCATTCAATCGGGTATCTCCTATGTTTTTAGGGTGCATTGAAAATCTTGACATTTTTAACCGAAATTTAATCAAAAAAAAATTTTTTGTTGACAACAGTAACGGTTTTACTAAAATTTTTTTAATGGTAATACTACTGAATTTGGTCTGTGGCGTCGTCTTCTAATAATATAGTTAGTTTCTTTAGTAAATAATTTCTATTTTCTTATTTATAATGCATTAAAGTGTATTACAAAATTAGAATTTAAAGTTCCACGAAAAAATGAATTTTTTATTTAACTCTTAATAAATGTAGAATTGGCCAATTAAAAATAAGACTGAACAAAAAGCAGATAAAAGAACTTTTTTTATAAATAACGAAACTTTTGCTTTTTTATTAATACATATTAAAGTCCTCTTAAAGAATTATTTATACATAAAGAAAGACTCTATCAGGGCAATAAAAAATTTTGCGGACAGATATCATTAATATTGACCACCTATTAGTAGACATAATTAAGATATAATACACCTTCGAAGAGAATATACGAATAAGATAATAATGAGTACAGTAAATGTTCGTTAGTCCATGAGCATTTTCCTTATATAGAGTAATTATTATTGCGTCAATTCTGGCTTTTCTCTGGAAAGAATAAATAATAGGTACATAGCATATTGCTTCGATGCAAACGATTTCTTTAGTAGAACTACGTTCTATCCAAAATCATTCAACATTTCCAACAAAAACTGGGCTCTGCCTTCAGATCAAACTTGACAACTGATTCATAAACGCTTTCACCTCCAACGATTGTCCCAATATTCTTGCTAGTTTCATCGTCTGACAATTTCCATATCTTGATTTGTTTCACAACAATGACTTCTTTATAAGAAAGAAACGGATAACACGAATTACTTGTTCTTTTGGAACTAACTCCGTGAGAGCTTCACAAAATGTATAAATATTACAAATTAGTAAGGAAAAATACATACGAAATAATGATCTCCTGAATACTCAAAATAAAATACCCGCCCGCATCTTATCATATTCACGCTATTCTATTCTACCTTTGTGTTAAGAATGTTTATCAAAGATTAAGTTTTTTTCGAATTATGTTTATATCTCTTTTTCATAACGCATCTTCGATCATGTGAAGGACTCTAGCAGTATAGTATTTTATGGCGAAATGATATTTCCCGTGAAGCATTTAGTCAAAGTCAAATGACTGAAATGACGGCTAAATGACATACGAATATGAATAATGACAAATGATCACTGGATACAACATCATAGGCCAATTCTTTCAGGTAAAAGGTAGGAAGGTGCGCCATTAATACACTCATATGAAAATGGAAAAACATCTTTACATGAAGGTTAACATAACATAAGATAACAAAGTGAAAGAGAAAGAGCTTTATAATAGTGTTACTGCAGGCATCAAAAATATCGTTGACGAAGTGAAAAAAGAAATCGTTGTTCTGAATGTTAGTGACAATTTCTCTTGTAAACTGGCAACAATATATGATGAGGTGGTGGCGGTAAGGATGTCGGTTTTTTCCAAACGTTGTGTAATTTACATTGCTAGGAACTGTAATTGGCTTCCAAAAGATGTTGAATATGTCGGCAGAATTGAGAAATACTTAAATATATCTCAAAAACGGGTACAATATAAAGAGATATTTAAAGGTAAAGATCTACACGATGTTATAATGTCACACAAAACTTAAGAGAAATATAATCGCTAATCAAAACAGTGATTTTATTAGTTCTTTCACAAAATTTGCTTCAATTGATGCTGATAAAATAGATACTATAGGTGGAAGGGATTTTTACAAAATATCATTAACTTGTGACAAATATTATCATAAATCACAATCTTCCAAAATTTTTTTGAGGACATCTAAAAAAAGTGGGATCTTATTTTAGGTCATATATAAACATCGTAAAATGTGCATACAGTCTAACCTCGATATACCGATATTCGATATACCGATATACTATTAAAAACTTGATATACCGATAAAATTTTATTTTCCCACTATATGTGAGGACATATAAATATCGGTATATCTTTGATATACCGATATTTTCTAAAAATTTCATATATGTCCCGACATATCGTTATATAAAGGTTTGCCTGTATAATGCAAAGTATAAAATCTATTTTTCAAATGTGGAATTGCATAAGATTGATCCTATTTTGACTTATAAATACATATTTTCATGGAAAAATATTATCCAACGGTTAAATATGTATGAAGACTTCAAGAAAAGATGTTTAAGGGATAGTGTCATAGCGAAGAGATTACATATGGTATATGGTAGTGGTGATAACTTAGATACACGACTCGATCTTGAGAACATCAATAAACGTGTATGTTTACATGCAGAGATGAACATTCTGACCGAAATAATAAATCAAAGAATTAAAACTAGAGTATTTATAGCAGTTTCCAAGAAGTGTTGTTACTTATGCAAGTTGTATATTGAATTCGTATCATTTCATAAGAAAGTATATGATTGCTGGAAACTTCCAGTTCCAAACATAAATGCTAACTTCATTAATAATTCAATGAAATCATAAAAGATAAATAAAAAACCATGATAATTTAATGGTAAAATATGATAGTGAAGATGAAATTTACGAATTTTATGACAATAAGAAATCATATTTCAGATCAGTTTTTACTGAAGTTTGAAAAAATTCTTATATATTAATATTCTAGGTGAGAAGTTCTTAAAAATTAAATTTGTATAGCTTAAATAATTTATTATACTTCGTATATCTTTATTACCCTTCTTAGCATTATACTTTATTTATTATATAAATTAGAAAATATGTAACTAAATTGCATCACAGAAAATAAATTAGCTCTTATTATATTATGTTCTTCATAAAAAATACATTGGCTCTAACAATATAATTAGTTTATCAATGCAAAATAAAAATTATTAGAAATGATTAATTATATACATGTGCATTTGTTAGTAAATATTATAAATATTATTCCAATAAAAAATCTGATATGTATAGTTTGGATGCTATAAATATTATTCCAATAAAAAATCTGATATGTATAGTTTGGATGCCCTTTTATGAAAAATCAGCAAATTACCTGAAAAAGTAATTATATTTATCTCCAATATATGGAATTTCAAGTAAATATCATATAAATCTTTACTAGGAATATTAGCAACAAAAATTACAGCTAGTTCAAATTTATTTCCATTGATTCAAATTTTATTAGAATTAATAAAGTATTTTTATTCTGCCATTTTTTTTATTTTGTACATATTATATATAAAATACATTAACCTAAATTTTTATATCAATATTTTTTTACAGAGGAGAGTGTACATATTGTATGAATACTAAAAAAATATCACAGCATTTGAAAAAATATATATATGCAATGTTTCTTTCACCCTATAGTTCTCCAGTTCTGGTAAGCTATCTGGAATTTATATATATGTATCCATAACTTATAATTCGCTATATTTGCAGATTCTGTTCAATAATATTCAGAGGTATCAGCTTAACTGTCTGGACCGATTCAAGCAACTCTTCGACCAAATAAGGAACAAAAACTGACTTAATTCAGAAGAGATGTGACTTCACATTGCAATGAAAATTCATGCACTTGGAGGAAAATCAAAAAGAATATGGTTCAGGGGTTTTTACAAGAAAAATATCACGAAGAGATACTGTTATATTAATACATGAGATGATATTAGTTTATGAATAGATAGTAAAAACAATGAAACCTAGATAGCAATTTGGAGTAGCAGGAAGGAACTGCTATTACTTTTACATAGTAAAAGACATCTAGAGGCGGGCAGGCATATTTTATGCTTTCTCCTCCCTTGAAACATCCGCTACTCCATTATCTTTAAACTTATATTTTTTCTAATGTACTACTTTATGAAAAGATGTAATAAAAACATTTTTTTTTAAACATATGTGTATTTTATAAGGTCAAATAAGCATTGCATGTAACTCATTCTTGAATATTAATAAAAAAATACATCCTTTTTTTTTTAGCATCAAGATTTTTATTATTATTTCACACAGGTCAAAAAGTAAAAAATCAGGCATCAATCAGTCACCAATCGGTCACAAATTGGTCACCAATCAGATAGCTGATTGGTAACCGATTGGTGACTGATTGGTGATGATTAGCATTTTCGCCAAATACCGTTACCAATCAGGCAGTTTGCTAACTTTTGATTCAGTGATCAGAAAAAAATGAAATATAGCTCATTGGAATCGTCTCAATAAGACGAATCTAATGATAGTAAAATTACATTTCTAAGATTAATAGTTAATAAAAAATTAAATAAAATATAAATGATATATTTTTATTTTATATTTTACTTAATTTCTCATCAAGTATTAATTCTAAAAATGCAATTTTACTACCATTAGATTCGTTTCGTTGAGACGATTCCAATGAGCTATATTTCATCCTTTTCTGATCACTGGATCAAAAGTTAGCAAACTGTCTGATTGGGTGACAATATTTGGCAAAAATACCAATTAGTCACCAATTGGTCACCAATCAGCTATCTGATTGGTAACCGATTGGTGACTGATTGATGCCTGATTTTTCACTTTTCGACCTGTGTCACATTTTGCTCAAAATAAGGTTGCTTGTCTAAACCTTTTCAAAATTCTACGATTAGTTTCGTCAAAATTTTACTATAGATTTATTATAGTTTTGGCAGAGTTTTAGCAGTTTCGGCATTTATAATAAGTTTTAGCAGTTTTGCCTTTTTCCAAAGTTTCGCCAGTTTTTTAATATAACTTTAATATAGTTTCGGCAGAATTTCACTTTTTGGTGAAACGCTATCTTGCCTAAACCCCTAGGTTTCAGCAAGCAACCTTAACTCAAAAGAAACAACGTGTTACATATTACTTTGTCTGATTGAAGAATAAACTAATTTTGAGAACCAATAGACACAGTTTTTTTATCCAAACTCTCTATTTTAAATGCATCAAAATTTTTGGAGCATGACACATATATGAAATCTGCCTTCATTTCCCAAACTTCTTTTGCTTCATTGCAAGTATCACCTCTACCTATACTGCGAATATCAATAATAGCTATACTCTTTGCAATTTTAACAATCTTTTCATATTTTTCTTCAGATTCAAATCTGTCCTTGTGTTTTTTCATATCTTCACCATCTCTCAAAAGTTCTATTGCCCATTCAAACTCTTCCACATAGAAATCTATCTTTCCTTCACATCCAAAAACTGAACCTACTTCCCATGACAAAAAATGATCCCTTCCCAATACCTGTGTACCGATTCTATAAAATTCCTTCTGCCATGTTTGTTCCAGAATTCTTCCTTCAGATCCAACTCTAAGCGTTTTTCTTAAAATGTTCCCACTTTGTTCATTATACATTGCTGTAAAAATCTTCACAATAAATTGATACAAATCTGTGGGAATAATATCGGTACTATTGCTAACTCTGTAATATTGCTGAAAAAATGCCCGCTTAAGAAGGGGCGCTGCAAAAGTTAAATACCTATCATCCTTCACAACCATAAGGACTCCAGTTTTAACTAGATACACAGCATCCTCATCATCTGAGAAAGAAGTTTTTCCTTTTAAATAAGTTTCTTCGCATAACTCTAATTGTTTCCTATTAAGTGATTTAACATTTGGTACAGCGCGGCAGTTGTTATAGATAGATATATCAAATTCCTTTGAATTCAAGTATTTAAATATTTCTTCCCAAATTAGACGATTAGAATTAATTCGCTTCTTCATTGCATCTTCTGTAAATATCAAGATGTGATGAACTAAACCTGCATGTCCTTCTGTTACTACTTGAATATATTTATATAAATTTGAGATGTCAGATGAGTCTAAGTTTCTGAAGTATTTTCTGCAGAACATTCCGATATATTTTTCTAACTCATCACAGGTAAAATTAATATCAATAAGACTTTTGCAGTTCGATTCTGGTAACGTGACAGGAGTTGTAAGTCCTGTAGTGTTGGAACTTCTATATCCATAGGCTGCGAACATAATAATATTTATATGCGTTACTTCCTGAAGAAGACTTTTAATCATCATCCAGAATTGATCTGCAGATCTTTGATTTTGTTCATCAACTTTTTTCTCTCTCCCATAGATTAATTGAGCTTCGTCTATTATCAAAATAGTTTCAATAAGTCTGCACTGTCCTAACCATTCAAACCAATCTATACCAATAATTTTAAGCCATAGCTCTCTAAATGAATCAAAGCAATTTTCCACTCCTACAGTCTGTCCCCAAATCATTGAAACTCTTACTATCCTGTGGTTTGAAAACTCTGGTGCATTAACCAAGTTATACTCCAAAATTTGGGCTAATGACGTTTTGCCAGAGAAGGGAGGTGCCCGAACAAGTATGACTTTTTTATTTAAAAGATCTCTGATCAAAGGAAGTATAATATCAAATCTTAGGCTGATGTCAGGGTCAGTAACATTAACACCCTCATTGGTGGATCTCATTTTCAGACCAGAAGGTAACATCGTACCACCAAGACCACCTGAAAAAGACTAATAGTTAGAAATAAAATACTGTTATTAAAGAACATCAACTTATACGTACATTGTCGAGGCAGATAGCCATGATCTGCAATGGCAAGAGATACTTCAGTGTGCCTGTGATCTAATACAAAGTAAACAGAGAAAGGTGATCAATATTTTATATGGAAAATAGATAGCGAAATTATCTTTTTTGAGAAATAAAAAATTGGGTAACACTTACCAGTGGTGGCGGGCTGTTGTATAATGATATGGATATTTCCCACTGGAGGTTTATCAATAAAATATCTGTTAAATAGGAAATTAGGTTTCATCTTATTTCCTTCAAGTTTTTGCACAATGTCGTCTTCGTTAAAAATGTCCACAACTTCTTCGATATTAACATGCCAAAGATCCAGTTTGGAAGCATTGTCAGTAAATTTAAGATTTTCTTTTTCACGTTCCCAGATATATTTCTTGAGGATATCGATAGTTAACGATTCTATGGAGTACTCTTCTCTTTTAATAACAATTTTATTGCTAAGAGGGATTGAGAAAATAGTTCCAGTACCTAAGACATAACAACTTAATAACATTTTGACTATATTTCTGCAATTGCGAAAACTGAGAGTTAAAAAAATAAAATTAATTTTCAGTAAAAAAAAAAAAGAATGTAGACCTTTTTTGATTCGAATTTAACTTGACAGATAAGGAATTTTCATCAAAGTTAGTTTGTATTGGAGATAAAATACTGTTTGACTGAGACATTTTATAATTTGAGCCAAATGTTCTTTTGATAATCAGAATGTTTCAAAAAAATTTTCAATATTACGCACAATCTGTATTTAGATAAATGCAAATCATCATGTGAAATGCACAGTACTACGTAAGTGACTTCTCTAGCGTAATCTGAAAAAAATGTCATGAAATAGCCGGCATTACGCAACTTGACTGAAATTAAGTGTGGCATATATGTGACGAATAATGTGTGATGAATAAGTTTTTACCTACTCAATAAAAAAATGGAAACGCAGTGGGATGTGACAGTTATGACAAAAAAAGTCACATGATTTTTTATCAATCAAAATCAAATGACTAAATGACAAATGATCATGAATAATGACAAATGATTTCATAAATCATTTAAGTATGAATAATGACTAATTGTATGTGACATTTTTTTCAGATTACGCTGGAAAAGTCAAATTTTAGTTACTGCATTTTTTTTTGATTGTGTAAATCTCTGTGTAACTATATTGCAAGTAGATTGATGAGTGATGAGTCGTGTACTGATTTAAGTATTGTCATAATAAATACCATAAATACTCAGTTATATATATAGACACATTGTCTAATAAATATTTAGACCCGTTTCTTAAAACTCTTAAAAATATCTTCTAATAACAGTCTATTAACATGGAAATCATTAATAATTATTATAATGAATTTAATCAATTGAAAACTAGAAATGCATCGATAAGCAAGACTTTTGTAACAACTAAAGAAGAAATATTAGATGAAATTTTCAGAGACTCTGATGGAAAAGACAAGGACATTTCAATCCATTTAATTCAACTTTTTGAGCAAAAAAACAAGGTTATAAATAATACCTTTATATTAACTGAAAATGTGTTAAAGTTATTGCGAAGAAAAGAATTATTATGTTACAGAGATAAAGTCAGTGACTTTAATCAAGAAGTGAAAAAAAGATTGGGTCTGATACTTGGAAAGAGATATTGACTATTTTCAATAGGAAAATATATACAGGAAAAGAATTTAAAAAAGATGACAACAAATATCTTACAAAGCTAAAGAAAGTATTAGATAAAGTAAATATAACAAAAGTTGAATTTGAATTATTGTTCAAGATGAAACATACTAGCAATAACGAATTTTATCAGAATGAAATAAGAACTTTGGAACAAGATTTAAAGAATCTTGATGTCGATTTTCCTAATGATTTAAAAGATTTAAAGGTTCCTTTAAAGAAGTTTGAACTAAATTCTTTGAATCAACACAATTTTAATACTTTTTTCACTTCATCTCCAATTTGCTCTATACAATTCAACTAGTTTTCTATATCATTAAATTTATTAATTTATTATATTTATGATAATTTATGTTTTCTTCCTTTATATATTGCTTTATTTTACTTATTGCTATATATTAAAAATAAAAAACTGTAAATAAATACAAAAACTCTATACCTGAATTACTCCACATATTCTGAATTAAGTATCAAATCATATTTTTTTATACTAATGATGTCAACCTATTTACAGTATTCCTAGTAAATTCTAATTTGATTTTTTTCTCATAAGATCCTTACCCTTTTCATTTCTCTCTCTCCACTTCAAGAAACTTCTACTGACTTTTGTACTATAAAATATGATCAAGGACTTTTATTGTCTTGCACAACAAGTAAAGGTTTCTTTTACTGTCTAACGTATATACTATAAAATACAAGTTTTCTGCATCTGGCATACTTTATGGATATTATACTTGTATTTGCTTTGCGTTTGTGAGATAATAAAGACAATCTGAATGGGAACTATGCAAAGCTTCATCTTTTTTTGGACAGTAGCTTGATCAAATGTCACAGTCTTAATAACCTAAAATTTCGTTGACACACTCCAAATAAAAAAAATCATGTGATTTGAGTGAACCAAGTTTGCTGAAATTGGCCAAAAAAAAAAATTTATTAATATATGCATAAATAAATACAAAGTTTGGGATATATCCTGTGATACATGACAAATTTTCTATGCTATAGTGTCCTATACATTTCTTTTTTCAAACAATACTTCTCTATCCTAGCTCTCTTCCTGTCAGATTCTTCCTTCACATATGTCTTATCCTTTAATAAACCCACAATTATTCCTAAAACCTCTTTCACGATATTACATAGTGATTTGTATCAGTTAGAGTTCAGGTCCAAGGCCTTCTTAGTAAATTCGATCGAATACGTAGTGTCACTTACCTTGAATATTTTTTCAGGGCTATATAGGAGAAAATGCCAATCTCAACCTATTGTGATGATACCATAGAGATAGTTGAAATTATCATCATCCCACTTTCTCTTCCTCTTATTCGTCTCGCATGCACTCTTAAGTTATTTGATATTCTGAGTGAAGCTTACGGGAACTTTATGTTGCTTGCCTTCTGTGATGCAAATAAAATTCTCAGCTTCCTAGAGTGAAGAATAATGAATTAATATCATATTGACTAAAGTCAGATTTCTCAAACATTCAAAATAAAATTATTCACCTACCTTGATTGTATAATCAACCTGACCTTTACTTTCTTTACCAACTATCCATATTGAGGACATATGCTAAACTCTTTATTTGTTTCATTCATGACGATATGGATGGAAACGTGAAGAAATACTACTACATATTCATTACGCATAGCCTCTAAGCTATCCGGTTGTAAAGTTCAGTAAGAACGCAACCTACCCAAAATCTCTTCTATGCAATACTTGAAAACCTTATTACTATCTTAAATTTCATATATTAAGGGGGAGAAGAGCAGGATAGAATCTATACTATTGGAGTCAAGACCATATTCCAACACCTCACTCAAACTGAGGTACAAGGAGAACCACTGGTAAAAAAATGATTTATCCTACACATATCTTACACATATTAGGTACTTAAAATGTAGAAAATCATACACAAATAATACACATATCATACACATATCGGGTACTAATATATATCATATATCAGGTACCTGATAGGTATACTATATATATAAGTACCCGATATGTGTATGATATGTGTATTATTTGTGTATGATTTTCTACATTTTGAGTACCCAATATATGTAAGATATATGTAAGATATGTGTAGGATAGACCATTTTTTTACCAGTGAACGCTTTTAATTTTTTATCTTTACACTCCTTAGCGAAGTTTGTGAGCTTTTTCAAAGGATTTCATAATGCTCAAACTCTTCTTTGCTCGTCTTAAGGAAGTCATAAGTCATAACCCATTATTTTTTGCTTGTGAAATATCTCCAAGTCATCATCGTCAAGACCTAAGTCTTCTTCCTTTTATAAATATCCGATAAGAGACTCTGTTTTATATTTTTTAATTTCTTTCACCAGCGAGAACGTCTCATTTCTAGCAACTGTAGTAGAAGTTGAAGCTGGAGTATAAGGTGTACTAGTTTTAGACATAGTATTACGTTTTTATATAGGCTAGTTTAGCTCAAACAAAAAAATAGTATTACGTTCTGTAGTGAGAAAAATTATTTCAGAAAATACTAGGCGTTAATATAGGTTTTTATATCACATAAGCATTGCATAATTTCACGTAATCTACTTTTTCATTTATATTCGATGAAATAAAAAATATTGTTAGAATCGGCTTACAAAATAAAAAAATGTGAATAATTCGCTTTACATGATACATAATAGTTATATATAAGGATGTTAACGGTCCAGTCCAGACTGACCAGACCGTGATCCAGTCCTAAGGACCGATTTTGAACTGAATCATATTAGAACTGGATTGATAGGACTATCAGTACTATAGACGATCCTATAAGAAATTTTTTTAACTAAAATTCATAGTGCTGGCCTGAATTATGGCAGTATAATGTTACACACTTCCAAAAAAGAAAATTTTATTTTTGCAAAAATTCACAAGATTGCACAAATTTCCAAAAAAAGAAATTTTGTTAATTCTAGAAATTATGCGAAGTAATAAACTAACACAAATTTTTTTTATGGGATTACAATCCAAACCACAGTTCTATAGAACTGATCAGTTCCAGTTCTCAGTCTAGTTCTGAACTGTGAACTGATGAAAACTGGATCAAGATAGGATTCCGCTTACTTATAATAAAGGTCACCATAAAAAATTGGCTCTTTACTAATAGTTTTTACCTTACTTTTTTTTTAAATTCTATTGGTTAATTAGTTAAAAAGGAAAAAAATCATAACAATGTAACATAAAATTTCCTTTTGTAGTAGGATCTGCAAAGAATTTTATATATGATTTTTATTTTAGGCCTGGGATGACCTATCTTATAAGTAAGCGAGGTCCTATTAAGACTAGATCAGACCAGACCGTTAACATCTTTAGGTACATTTAAAATGTGTGACAGGTTATATTAAAATCAGTAATAAATAACAGGTGACAAATACATTTTGAACCACTAAAAAAAAACTGAATCTCTCAGATAAATAGTGTTTTTGACCTTGGCTTGCACATGATCATATAACGCTAAAAACTGCTAACTATTACTTCTTACTCTAAAGCTAATATATTTGATGTAACCTGTCACATATTCTGAACTGGCTATCTCTAGTTATACATCATATGCTACTGAAAATTTAAGATAATTATATCTGTAATGCTCAATAGTATCATTAAGATATCTGTTTGGAGTAAGTTGATTTATATTAAATTCTTCTCATGTAAAAGAATCGTGACAATTCTCTTCTAACCATTTCACAATTGCACTTTTTTTGTAAAAGTATCCACTTATGTTAATATATTTTTAATTTATTCTAACGAAGAAAAAAAAATAACTGATTGATGGTCACTGCTCTGGACTAATCCTTTCCATTAATGAACTACTCTCAGATAAGCTTGATTCAAATGAATTAGTTTCAGACAAAGTAAACTGCTTTTTTCTCATTAATTTAAAAAATGATAAGACTTAGTCACAGTTTAGTCACTGGCTACACTCTGTAGTCTTTTAAATAAGGGGCAAATATCTTTAATCGAAAAATATGTAGGGGCCTTCAGAAAAATTCTTCAAATTACCAACCGCTTAACCTTTAACCTTTCTTAGTTATGCTTTCTTTCATTGCTTATGAGAAACATCCTTTTTTTCTCTTACTTGATACTTATGGAATCCCTTAATTATCTTATCTGAATTAAAATTTCCAAAGAACTCAGACGAATAGGAAGCTTTACCTTTTTTACCAATCAGTAAGAAAACTATTTCTTGTATTAAGTTGATTATAAACTTTCTATCTACACATTTGTCCAGATCTTTCAATTTAGCTTAAGCTTTACATATTTGAAATAATAATCTTTCAGTCTTTTTTCTAATACCCAAATCTGTTCAAAGAGTGCTTTATATGCTCTTACATTCTGCTCATCCAGTTCAAATAACCAGGCTGTTTTATCTGTATATCTAATAACTTTCTACTTGCTAGTTATACTATCAAATTAATGCTTTTGATTGATTACTATTTTCGTGATATTTTATATATGATATATCCTGCCTTGAGCGAAAAATAAAATTAATAAATAATATCCTGACCTTCTAACATTCTATATAATTAGTTTTTATCAAAGAGCTTGAATGCCCTTGCTTGATTGTAAGGTTGTCCTTTCTTTTGATAATTTACTATAGTATAGGTTTGTGCTAGAGAGGTATGATTATCTAATAAATGTCAAAGGGCTTGACTGATAATGGTTATAGCCTCTAATAAATTCTTTACACTATTCAAAACAACTGCAAGTACCACCTTCTAAAGCTCTGAACGGTTCGGTTTGGTTCCATTTTTCAGTTTTTTGATGAGATAATTCCAACGAACTATAGATTGGGTTTATACGATCACTGGATGGCAAGTTATTGCGCAAAATGGATTCTGACCATTCAGAAAAGAACCAAAAAATAGAACCAAACTGGACCATTCAGAACTTTACCGCCTCCAATTTGCACAAATAGCTAGGGAGGAGTGGTTTACCAATTTCAAAAAGAAATTTATCTTTTTTCAAAAATGTATTAAACCATTTAACCCCTTATACTCCTAGATCCCTTATTAACTGTTCAGAAGAAATTACACTTTAAATTCAAGTAAGAAGAAGTTCAGTTTAACTTGCTCTTCATTTTTTTTTAATAATCTAAATATCCAAGAATTATTCTGCTGTTTTCAGTTTTTTGAATACCCAGTTTCACTTCCATTAGAAATGCACAAATTTTTAATTTTAGTGGGGCAGATGCGAATGATCCTTATCAGGTAATGGAATATCAGATGATTGAGAAGTTATCTGTATTTCTAAATGAATAGAAGATTTTGATATAGATAGATACATTAGTTTGTGCATTAACAGCAATTCGATCTTACTTGATTTTCCCGAAATCATAATTTAGTTTAGCAATGAGCTTACCTTTTTCTTTATCACTCTGCTCTAGTTTTGTGAGTTTAACAACATTATCTTTTATAGCCTGTCTTAATCTCACATTTTTGGCCTTAATCTTAGCATTTTCAGCCAAAAGCTTAGCATTCTCTTGTCTCAACAAATCTAATTCAGAATGCATGTTTGGTAATAACTTTTATATATCTAATATTGTATTTAAAATGTATAACTGACGCACAAAAATAAAAAAATCATGTGTGTATGAAGAATTCTTTGCGCTGATCACTTTTGTCAAAAAAAATTTTTTATTAATATATGCAAAAAACAAATACAAAGGTTTGGAACTTTGCTTGGGATACATGATATTTCTATGCTGTTTACCAGAACCTTTTGTTATACATTTTGAAATAGCATGACAAGCTGGATAAAATAATATACAAAATCAATATAATAATATATATTTACAAACAAACACTAAAGTACATACTTGTTGATCCAGAAGAATTAACTGTATTTTAAAGATTTTAATGTTTAAATTGATTAAAGAATGTATGATGTATATTTTCATGATCATGATTTGGCAACTCGATTATGACTACAATTCTGTCTTGAAACTCCCAGTACCTTGATGCATTCACAATCTCACATTTTTTTTCAAACTTTTTTATAACTTACACCTTCAATAAGAATCAGAGGAAGTCTAATAGAATAAAACAAATTTTAGCATAAACATTGAGAATTGATTTTATGTAGTATTATGATTATGACTTTACTTATTTTTATCAATAATTTTATAATTTCCATTAATCCACCATTTTTTTCTCTTGCATCAGCTTTCTTCTACATTAGCATTAATAACTTCAATACATTCCTAAAATGCCAACTCATCTGCAGTTAGATTAGGTAAGAAAGTTACTGAATCTTGACAAGAAATTAGCATTTTTCAGATATATAAAAGTCTGTCAATTTTTAATAGTTTTTAATAATTTTCTTTTATTTGAAAGCTAATCAATTGTAATTTTAAAATGCAATTAAAAATTTAAAATCTAGCTTTCAAATAAAAAAAATTTGGGTAATTTTGTTAGAAATTTATAGACCTTTATGCAATATGAAATTACCAAGCATTTTTACAGAAACCTGGTAAGTTTAAATTAAAAATAATAATAATAGATTATATTTATTAACTGCTAGTTAATAGAAATTATATATCTAAAAACCTAAAATTTAATGATTAAGAATAAATAAAACCTAAAACCACAACCAAAAAGCATTAATTTAGAGTAAATCACATGACATAAATATAATTTCGCCAAAATTAATTATAATTCTGGCCATATTTTTTACTATCAATCAATGATCACATGTTCTGTTACTTGACCTGAATATCTGATTAATTAAATTTAGCATGAATTCATGGATCTCATATACTAATAAGTTGATCTAAATAGTCATCGTTGGGAAATCGAGGCGTCTGTGAAGTCTGTTTAGAATATCCAGATAATCAGGTTCATTGTTCGGATCAATAATTGAATGCCGAATCAGAAAATCGATCACAACTATTATTTAAAAAGAATTTCTTAATATATATAAGAGTTATTAAAAATAACAACATAATAGAATACCTAGTGCACAATTAGGTTTAAATTCGTCCGCTTTAATATGCTTAACGAGCTAAAAATCCAACCAAATGATGCTATTTGTAATAAATATTACAAGAAAAAATTCTTCATTAAAAAAATGCGAACCTCATCCATGTCCCATAAATAAAAGCATTCCACTTCGCCATCAAGTGGCTTTGGTTCTACATCAAGAGGAATCTCAAGGTCATAAACATATCTGTTTATATATACGTATTCACGGAAAAGGAAATTATAATTATTCTTATTTATTTAAAAATTAATTAACCATTAAAACTTACTGAATTTCAGGTTGTAATCCTCTTTGTGATACTGTAAAATAGGAAATCGCACCCACAGGAACCGCTTTTTCTGCAATTTCCATAGATAAGCTTGCCTCTTCCATTGCTTCTTTGATAACAGACTCTCTTACACTTAGTGTATATGGAATTCCACCTGCTACAGCGTTATCCAGCCATCCAGGCCAAGTGGGTTTTGTCCTTGCACGTTTTGCGATCCACATTTTTAGTTGACCTTGTTCAGTCCTAGTATATCCATTCAAATGAACTCCGAAGGTCAACACACCAAATAATGGAGCCGCACAACGCTCCATGACAAATGCTATATTTTTTGGACTTTTCGGATCACCATATATAGGATATAATTCATCCCGCCAGCCTAAATTAAATTAATTTATTAATTAATTTATTTAAAAATAAGAATTAATTAGTGAAATTATGAAATGCCTGAAAGAGCCGGAAAAATCTTCTCTTCTCTCCACGTATTAAATAGTTGTTTAACAATTTCTGTTCTTGATTCGAACGTATTTAAATGTGCTGCAAATTTAACGTATTTATCTTCTATAATAAAAGGGTTTGGCTCTTTGAGACGAATATATTCTTTTAACGCTTCAACAGTTGGAGGAAGGAGGAGGCCTACTTTGATATCATTATCAAGAAGAAGTGGAATGTCATTTGGTTTAGAACTAGATTTAGTATTATCAGAGTATGGATAATTATCACATTTTTCAACTATATTAAAAAAAGAATAAGAAGAAGACTTTGAAGGTTCAGACATTTTTATCAAAATCTTATCATGATCAACCTAAAATAAAATGTTAGATTAGCTTACATAATACATCTTTTCTCGGTATAAAAATATTTTTTTTTTTTCAAAAATTTTATTTTACGCCAAAAGATGGTAGAACCTACTCCATTTATTTTGACTCAATATGGAAGTCTTGAAAATTTAGAAAAATATTGTAGAGATATGCCAAAAATTGTAAATTATCAAAACTATCATTTATGTTTTTAATATATTAAGTTAACATACGTGAATTGAATAGGAGTTACATGCACACATTAATGGTTCTATAAGTCCGGAAACACTTCAACAATTAGTAGAACGAAAGAAAGAAAAGAAACCTCATTTAGCACAATTTACAATACCAAAAAGAAAATTAGACGTAATTAATGAGTACGAAACTTGCAGTGAAAATATATCAATAATTATTTTATCAACTAAAAGGTTTTTTTACGATGACAGGTTTTTTTCTATATTCAATGTCGTGTATCAACTGACCGATGATGATGAGTCAATAGGTTATATTACCGAATCTGTAATTCTTGACTTTAAAAAGGACGGAGTTCAATATTTAGAATTAAGGACAACTCCAAGAAGTGATAAAAATGGTATATTCTAAAATAGTACCCCATTTACATGATCGTATTCTAATAATATTTTTCATAAAAGGGATGATGACAAAAGAATCCTATGTAGGTATCGTTTTGTCAGTTATCCAAAAATTTTCATACTCAGAACACGGAATTATTGTTAAACTGATACTAAGTATAGATCGTCGAAATACCTTGGAAGAAGCTATGGAAACTGTGAATTTAGCTATTAAATATAAAAACAGGGGTGTTGTTGGTGTTGATCTTTGTGGTGATCCTAGCGTGAGTTATTTTTAAAAAAGAATTATAAAAATTTAATCTCTTAAGTATGAATTAAGTATCTTTATTCGTTGATAATAGAAGGGACATATAGATAATGTTAAACCTGCTTTCATAGAAGCAAAAAAACACGGATTGAAAGTTACACTACACTTTGGAGAGGTGAATAATGTTAAGTTCGCATAATCTTTTTTAACCCGTGATTAAGGTTTAAATTAACTCTTTCAAATAATTAACGCGAAAAAGATTGAAGAGAATATACCAGAACATGCGTCAATGCTTGAACTTTCCCCTGATCGTCTTGGTCATGCTACACATCTTGATCCAGAATCAAAGGATTATATCTCTTCAAAGAATATTCCGGTAGAGATGTGTATGACTTCTAATGTGCTAAGTAATACAGTGAAGAATTATCGCGAGCATCATATTCGGGATTTTTTAATAACGGGTTACAAATTTTGTATTTGTGTAAGAAATTTGTTATTGATTTTCTTAATTTTGTCACCGCTTTTTCTTATTCTAACATTTATTCATATATACATATATATATCTTTTGACTATCAGACTGATGATAAAGGTAACGTTATTTACTATAAATTACATGACTTAAAAAGAAAAAAGAAAAAGAAAAAGCTTTTTATTGACGTCAATTATTTGCTGCGTACAGGTGTTTTCTTTTCGGATCTTTCCACTGAATATGCAATTGCCGCTTCAACATTTTCTCTTGATCCAAAAAGTTTATTCGAACTTTCATTTCAAAGTATTGATTGTATATTTGATAACGATGAGACAAAGCTACAATTGCGCAAAATATGGAATGACTGGTATAGCTCAAGCAAAAATTCTTTGTTGACAAATGTCAATGATTGAGATCTTTATGATTGATATTATAAACACATTTTGGATAAATATAAAAATAGTTTATTGATAATCAATGTTATTAAATTACATTTTATTAAGAGACCATACTGAAGTTTTATTATTAAATAGAAAAAAAAAAATAATAATTTTTAAGCCCAATCTAAACTTCTTTCAATAGCTTTTTGCCATGTTTTATATTTTTGTTCACTTTCCTCTTTAGACACTTTAGGAGAAAAAATTGTTCGGTCTTTGCTATTAACTTCATCTAATTCACTAAAAGATTTCCATACACCAACAGCGAAACCGGCAGCAATAGCCGCACCTAAAGCAGTTGTTTCTTTCATTGATGGACGATCTACATCAATTCCAAGAATATCAGATTGAATTTGCATGCAGATATCTGAATTTGTCATACCACCATCTACTTTAAGAGAGGTTATAGGATGACCTGAATCGGTATTCATAGCATCCAAAATTGCGCGTGTTTGGAAACATGCCGCTTCTAAAGTGGCACGAGCAATATGAGACTTATTTGTATATTGAGTGATTCCAACGATACAACCACGAGCATCATCACGCCAATAAGGAGCAAACAAGCCAGAAAAAGCAGTTACAAAGTAGACACCACCAGTGTCATTAACGGAAGCGGCAAGATTATTAATTTCATTAGTTTCATTTATAATACCCAAGTTATCACGAACCCATTTAATTGCTGATCCAGCGACAGCAATTGAACCTTCAAGAGCGTACACTGGTTCCTCATTACCGAATTTATAGCCTACAGTTGTAAGTAGACCAGATTTGGAAATCACAGGGTCTGCACCAGTATTAAATAACATAAAACATCCTGTACCATAAGTGTTTTTCACTTCACCTCGGTTGAAACATTTTTGTCCCACCATGGCAGAATGTTGATCGCCTAGATCACCAGCAATTGGGATTCCCGCCAAACTGGTTATTTTGATATTACCGTATACTTCCGAAGAAGAGCATATTTTTGGGAGAATACATTTTTTAATTCCAAAAAATTTAAGTAATTCATCACTCCATTCTAATTTCTTGATATCCATTAACATTGTTCTGGAGGCATTTGTTACATCAGTAATATGCAATCCACCATCAATTCCGCCGGTTAAATTCTATTTCAGAACACAATGAGATTTAATTAGATAAAAAGTACGTAAATTTTAAAAATAAGTTGTGAAAACCTACATATATAAGCCAAGTATCAACGTTTCCGAATATCATGGTCTCATTTTCATGAGCTTCTTTAACTGTGGATACATTTTCAAGAAGCCACTTAAGTTTTACTGCAGAAAAATAAGTTGAAATAGGAAGTCCACAAAGTTCTTTTAATGCATTTGTTCCATGTTTACTATTTAAATCATGTACCAAATGATGGGTACGAGCATCACACCAAACAATAGCATTACAGAGATGTTTTCCAGTAAATTTATCCCAAACGATAGTAGTCTCTCTTTGATTGGTAACTCCAATAGCCTTAATATCCGTAACGGAATAGCCTTTATCAATAAATTTTTTTAGTCCTTTCTCAATACATTCATAAACTGATTCAAGAATATCAATAGGATCATGTTCAATCCAACTTTTATAAATAAAAAACAAAAAAAAAAAATAATCAAAATAAAGGTATTAACCCTTTAAAATATTTTTAAATTAAAGTATTGAATAACTAACCCAGGATTAGGATAATATTGAGCAAATTCGACTTGATGATAATCTATCAAAGCACCTTTTGAATCGAATATCAAGAAACGGGAAGAAGTCGTTCCTTGATCTATTGAACCAATAAATGTAGGCATCTTTGTTTATAAAAAATTTTTAAAAATTTATAATAAATTGGGTACACCGATAAACTATTTTTCAAAAAGGGAGTTTCTTTATATATATCTATATTTGATAATCAATCAATTTGTCGATCAAGATTTTTTTTCAGGCCATTCGCACGTGAGGTTAATTAGAAACAAAATTTTGTGTAAAGTATGGTTTTTGACTCGATTTATATATGATCAATGCAAATCAAACATGATTAGCATTACGATTGATAAAGGAGTAAGAACATCTATAATTTGGTAAAAATAAAAATTTTTTTTTTAAATGAATTCGATTTCTTTATATTTTAATGAATTCAACCATAAACTACACTTACATTGGGGTAAAGGATGTTATTGGGGTTATTTGGAACGCAACCAATAGAAATTTCTTTAAAATGATATCGATATATAACTCCCCTATTATAAAAAAAATAAAAAAATAATTCTCATTTTCTTTCTTTTTTTTTTATTAATAAGTAGGTAAGATGCACATTATTTTTATAATGAAATTAACAAATTTAACGATAAGTAGAAACCAATCTAAATTTTAAATGTTCACCAGCAGTTAAGGGTGTTTTTACACCATCAACACCATAAACAATCCCCTTTTCCACATTTATAGAATCCAAATTTTCTAAATATTTACTTGGAATAGGATCTAAACCAACATCATCTTCAGCATGACAAAAATATGCTATGCTATATCTATCAATCATCGAAGTATCGTTATTAAATGTAACACGATGTTTAGTAGATTTAAATAAACCTTTTGACCAATATTCTAATAAATCTGCTATATTAATTAATACACAATCATTAATAACGGGTGCAGGAATCCATTGTTTTGTTGAAGGTAATTCTATTTCTAAACCTCCAACATCTTTTTGAAATAATATTGTCAGAGAACCATAATCTGTATGACTAAATGAGATAAATAAATAAATGTGTATAATTTTTTTTTTTGTTAAAACCAAAAAAAAAATTTAAATTTTAAATATGTTTTACCTCCCAGCACGAATATCTTTTTCATCAATATTATGTTTCATAGGTGGATAATGTAAAATTCTTAAAGTATCACCGGAATCATTTTCATACTTATGTCTTTGTTCAAACCAATTTTTACCACCTTCATCTTGTAGAATTTCCAATGATATAGAAAAAGCTTGTAGTATTTTCATACATAATTGGTGACACGTCTGGATAAAAAAAAAAAAATTAAATTTAGGTTAAAGTTATTAAAGAATAAAGAAGGATTTCATTTTCATGATAGAAAACCTTTTCAAATTTATCGATAAATTCTTCTTCAAAACAAGGGGGTAATACTTGTAATTTCTTTCGTATCTTACCAAAATTAAAACATCTTTTTTTTTAAAAAAAAAAAAATTGAATAAAAATCAATCCTTCTTTTTCTTTCTTTTTTTAAAAAAAAAAATTAAAAAAATTTCCCAGTTAAAAAATTTCCTGGTTAAAAAATTTTCCTTGTTAAATATCTTTCTCATAAACTTACTCTTTCCAATCACCAATTTTCTGATTCGATGGATCAAGCATTTCTTGATGAATGGAAACATATCCTTGATATTTTTCATTTACTGAATATTTTAATTTTTCTTCTTTTGAAAGACTAAAAAATTCTTTTGTCTAAATAATAATTATAATAAATTATAATAAAGATAAAAGTTCAAATTATAAAAAGTTATAATGAATCATTATTTATCCTTACTAACATGTGTAAACATTTTATCAATAATATCTTGCGAAATTCCATGATTTTTTAAATAAAAAAAACCAATAGTTTCACTAGCTTTTTTTATTTCTTTAGAACAATTAACTTGGTCAGTATCAAATAATGAAAAATCAATTATTGGAATTTGTTCCATTGGAAAGAATTTTTTTTTTTTTAAAAAAAAAATAATATAATATAACAAAAAATAATAGTAACAAAAATAATAGTGAGTACCAAAAATAATAGTAACAAAAAATAAAACAAAAATAAAACAAAAATAAGACAAAAAATGAAAATGAAATATATTTGATCAATGATCAACCAAAGTCTTACGATTCTTTGAAAGAGAAAAGAGCATTCATTTCATCCTTATCATCCCATTTATACATATGAATTTGTCATAATGTGATTACGAAAATCATATTAAAATGATGATTTCATAAAACTTCAATTTACCCATTCCCGTAATTTTATTTATAATATTATTTATACTATTTTGTAGTTGTCCTACTATTACAGTAAGCACAATGCGTAAATCTTTCATTTTATATTTTAAATGAAAAAATTTATAAATAGCTTAATACGCGCTAAATTAATTAGTTATAGTGTTCACAAAATTAATAAAATCATGAATAGTTCAATAAAACATCAACATAAGCAAGTTTCTCAACAAAAAGAAATTTCTCAACAGGAAGAAATTTCTTCTACCATAGTTAACAATATCAAGCCACAAAAAACTAATTATAAAAAATATTTAACAGATTTCGTTGAATACGCAAATGAAGGAATCCATTCCTCAATAAATTCCCTTCAATCCATTAATATTACACAAAAAATTTCTCATATTTATGAAATGCCATCATCATTTATATTACCAGATGATGATCTATTCGCCCCTACAGTAAAAAAATTCTTAGAAGATTATACATTAGATGATATTTATCATAATATTAATAAATATGGTATAAAAAAAGAATTAGAAATAAAAGGTTATAAAGATATTGTTATTAGTTTTGATACTTCCGATTATTTTGTACATAAATTAAGCTTAACTGATAAATCATTATTGAATTTTACTTCCACAATTAAAAGTATTAATGGCCAATTTTTAATTAATTTATTTATAAGAAAAAAAAAGTTCATCTTAAGTGATTTTAAAACCTATCAAATTTTAAGAAGAATTGAAACTTTTAATGAAAATGATGAAGAAGATAATTTTATTAAAAATATCAAATATATTAACGGCTTTGGTGCTATGGAAGTTTATAAATTTATGGAAAGCCAATTAAATGATAAATATTCATTATATTTAATTGAATGGATTTGTATGCAAGGTACATTATAATTTTATTTACAACTTTAAAAGAATAAAAAGATATTAATCATCTTAATAGATCCATGTAGTAAATTTTCTCAAAACAGACCACAATTTCCAGGTCAAAATTATCCTGGCTTAAGAATTGGTAGAAAAGTTAATAACATGTTGATTGATCTAGCTCATAAAGGTTATTATTAATTTACATTTATTATTATTATATATTTAAAATTATATATATTTATTTATTTTTTTTATAAAAGGTGATGGCTTAAGTAATATTCCTGAAAATTTTCACAATGCTTACATATATCATACGCAAGATTATACCTTTCTTAATCCTGCTTTTCAGGCTTATTTTGATTGTTTGTGTGGTAATTATTTTTCAACTCATCTATTATATTATTAATAATATTTTACTAATAAGTTTCTTTAAAAAAAACATAAATAAAGATTCTTTAAAAAATGATTTAAAAGTTCACGGATTATCAGCTGTATCTTGGGCATTTCATAATGGTCATGTAAAAAATCTTAATGGTGAAATAGAAATGTAAGTTATCACTTAAACTTGCTAATTAATATAGATATAAATGGTAATAATCTAATCCTTTTTATTTGATTTAGATGGAAACCAGAAGAACAAGTATACTCAATATCGTCAAAATTAAGTTCGTATTTTGTTTCTCATGGTTATAAGAGTTTGTATAATATATTTCGTAAACGTGATTATCAAGTCTCAATAGATTGGAATAATGCCAAAGAAATTTGGAAATTTTCTTTAAATCATCAATTTGTTAATTATAATACTGCTGAAGATATTATTTGTAATATTCATAATGAAGATGAAAAAAAGAACGAATTAAATATCATTAAAGATGTTGCAAACGAACATCAACAAAATGGGCAAGAGCATATTTGGATACCTGAAAAATCAAAAATTTAAAGAATATGTTATATATTTTTCTTAATTTTTAAGTCACCTTTATATAAGTATTTATTTATTTTATATATTTCCTCTTTTTAAACAAATTATTTAAATTAATTTATTCCAATATATATATGTAAGTAATATTATACAATAAAATAAATCTTTCTAAAGAGATTAATAGAATCTTTTGTTTTTTTTAAATATGCTAACAAAGTCTATGTCATTCATTAACCGATTTATTTAGAGCAAAATGGAAAAAAAGAAATCTGTTACTATTTTGAGTTTTATAAAACATGTGATACCTTTTCAATGTCCAAAAGAATTCTACAATAAAGCAAAAAAGAGCATATAAAAACTTCAAATCTATACCTACCGAAAAAAAAAAATATTTAATATCATAAAAAGTTTAAAGTAACTACTAATAATAACTTTTTTTGTACAAAATTTATATATATAATTAAAATTTAAATTCTTTATATTTCTTAGTTCCTGAACTTCCAGAACTTGAATCTCTGGCCGCAGCTCGCGAATCTGCAACCTTTTGTCTTTTCTTTGCTTGTTTACTTGCATGTTCAGCAACCATATCGGAAAAATCTTCATGTGCACCTTCGGGTAGAGTAGCCTAAAAAAAATGTAACATAGTTAATAAAACGTTACAAGATAATAAGTGAATTAAAATGTTTATCAACAACCTGTTGAGCTTCTTCAAACTTGGCTCTTAAAGTTTCTTCATCCAGATTAGCCATTTCTGAAGGGTCCAAGGCTACGTCAACACCAGCTCCAACAGCTTTTCGCTGTAATAATGTAATATTATAGATTAGAAATAAATAATAAATGTTTTTATTGAACATCCAAATTACCTTAGTAGTTCCCTTTAATGGTCCTGATGTTGATGTAGATGACAAATCATATACATGTTGTGATCCCATAAATCCTGAAATCGATGCTTCCTTTTGTGGGAGCACTGTGTATAATTGTTTAGGTTCATCTTCATCACTCCTGTATAGGAAATGTTTTTAGGTTATAAGATAATCATGTAATTTTTTTTTTTTTTTGAATAAATAAATGGGTAATAGGTTCATACTTTTGATATTTTCTTAGTTCGATGAAATCTGGTGTTTCTAAGCCACTCGCTAAGCTTGCCGTATTTGTTGTAGTAGAAGTAGTAGAAGTATTTTGGAATTTTCTCAATTCAATATATTCAGGAGTTTCCAAACCGCTAGGTACACTTGACAAACCGCTAGGAGTGACAAGACCTTCTTGTAACGCTTTAGATGCAGCAGGATCTTCTTCTACCGGTTCTTCCTCTTCCTCTTCCTCCTCTTCTTCCGATTCTACATATGTCATTTTAGGAAATGAAACGATATTCAAAAATAAATAAATTAATTTTATTTTTTCTTACCTTCTTCCTCGTATTCTAGTTCACCCCATAATGAACGTTCAATCGGTTGAACGATCTACGCAAATTAATATAATTTAAACTTAGAATTTAAATTTTATAAACCATAAACGAAAATATATGAAACATGACATACATCTGAGGGAATATCTTGTTGGTAAGTTCCAAAAACATCGCCATATAAAGGTCGATTATACTAAATTAATTAAAAATAAGTTAAATATTTCTAATGAAAAGTAAACAAATTTATTCTATAAAATTTTACCTCATCAACAGGAGGTTTTCCCCAACCACCAGGATGAAATCCCCATTGGGCCCTTAAAATTACATATTTTTTATAATTCATATTTAGTAATCCTTATCCTTGACACATAATAAATAAGAAATATATACCCTTCTGGAATCGGTGCGTTCAATCCGGGAATTTTCAAATTAGGATAACTAGGAGGAGGTCCGTAACGTTGCATTGCAATTAACCATGGTGGAGGAGCAAGCGGAGGCATATTTAAGGCCGCTTTCAGTTCTTCTGAAAGTTGTCCCGGTTTTTTTTCTTTAAGTTTCGTCTCAAATTCTTTGCCTTCGTAATACCTTAACAATAATCACAATATTAAATCAATAAAATTCTTACCATAAATGATTTAGGCATCTGAATTAAACTTGAAAGGACTCACAATTCTCCATGGATTGTTAACTTTGGTTTGGATTGAAATCTGAAAAATGCATCATGTAATTTCTGATAATCAATATCCAGTTTGCCCATCTTGGGCTGTACACGTTCACGTGTCTTTTGCTTCAGTTTTGCCGCGTCTTCCTTCTCTTTAACAGCTTCACGCATTTCCATGATACCAGTATCCTTGATGAAATCTAATTAACAATAAATAAATTATCTTCAATTTGTAGGTCTAGATAAAATCCAAACTATAGAAAATAAAATACCAGGTAAATCAAAAGCCGGCTTTTCTATTCCTCTCTTCCCTTGAAGATATTTCCTTTTTTGTGACCAATGTTGAGGAACTGGAACAGTATTTCTGTAAGCTTTGAGACTAACTAAAAGTTTAGGGTCTGCAGCAGTTACATCTACCCACTTTTATGAAGAAATTTTGAATTATTTATCAAATTTATCATAATTATTATTAATTATTGATTAAAATATAAAAGGAACAAAAATTATACCTCAACAACTTCCGGTCTTTTTACTAATTGTTTCAACTGAGCCACACTCAATCGAGCCAATTTTTTTAGCTTTTTCTTCGATACTTTTTCCTGTTTATCTTCTTCGGTTTCCATATCCGATCCTTCATCTAATTCCTTTGTTTTTATATCGTCTTTGGATTTATTAGTTTCCTCCTTTTCTTCTTCTTTCATCTCTGGCTGTGCCTATATCACCATTATCCAAGTTATTTAGTACATTTTTTCTTTTTTACAAAAAATCATTTCTCAACCAATTACCGTATAAAATATTTAAAATATAGAAACATCTCATTTACTGAGAAAACGATACCTCAGATTCGTTATTGGCGATCTGAAAATGGGCAAAAACCTTTGAGAATTCTTCAAAGTAAGGATCGTTAGATACATCCAGAGGAGGTTGTAATACATACTCAATTTCAACTTTTTCCGAGTCCTCAATGTCTGAAGTCTTCATCGTATTTAATTACAGCACCATAATTTATTATAGTCGAAATTTGCCAATTCATAAGATAAAAGAATAAAAAGATGATTAAGAAAATCAATAAAAAAGAAAAAAGAAAAAAAGAAGAGCTGAAAACATTTTTTAATGATTACCTTGTCTTTTCCATTTTTGACCGTATCATTTGATAACTGAGAATTTTCAATATTATTTGATTTCTTTTTCTTTTTGCGACGTTGTTTATTCTTTTTCTGTTTATTCGAATCCTTTACTTCAACTTCTTGATTAGTTTCTTGAGCTTGTGTGGATTCGACAACATTTGTAGCATCTTCAACAGCTGAATTTGATTCAGCGGCCATTTTAACGAAATCTAATAATTATCGAAATAGATCTGTACAAACGAGACAAATATACAAGCAAATTTTTTTTTTCGATGGGATTGATAGTCAATAGACCATGTTACACAACATTACTACGCCATAAATTTTTTTGATCGGCGCGCGTATTACGGCTATTAAATTATGATATCGTAGACCTCGATATACCGATATAATAATATTAAAAATTTGACATGACAATAAAAATTTTACTTTCTCATTAAATATCGGTATAATTGGTATAATTGTGATATAACGATATTTTTAAAGATTTTCATATGGATTTCAACAAGTCTGTATTAACTATACGGTGTATAGAGAGTTAATATTGCAGACGGTGCACTGCGTACAATTAGGGTCATATCGTACCCATTATCATGATACTTCTACCTTGACCAGAATATATTGTAAAATACGGTTGCAAAATGCACATATATCACGCGACGTACAAAATTCTCATTAATGACATTTTAGGTTTTTTAAAAGTTACTTTAATGATAAAATACAAGAATCAACAATTATGTGAAAATGAATACAAATAAAATAGAAGTATTTAGTTCCCCTCTTTATTTTAGATGAAAAAATGCTCACTATTTAAGGTATAGCTTGGTACCATGATGACTCTTGATATCTTTGGCGATCAGATGCGAAACTAATTTAAAAAAAAGTTAATAAATGAGAAAGTAGCGAGAAAGCAAAAAAGCAAAACATAATAATATATATGAAATTATTTGAGTATTACAAATAAGCAACTAAACCGAAGACTTGAAAAATCATAATTAAGAGGGACCATAAAAACTTATCCATAGTACGACGATTACTCTTAATGATGTCTATGATAGCCAAAGCATCGAGAAATAACTAAAAAAATGAAATTATCCATAAGTAAGCATTATTGAAAACAGTTTTATTAAAACATATTTACATAAATACATACAATAAAGTAAAGAAGATAGTCAGGAATACAAAAATAAATGTCTAAAAAGTAGTTACAATATTTATTTCCTAATTCCATTATTAAAACTAGAAAGAGTTTAAAAAAAAAAAGAAAAAATCAAAAAAATCGAAGTTAACCCATTTATTTACAAATTTGGAATTGTATCATAAGAGCTTATATAAATATTGAAACTAGAAATATTATAGGACACCATACTACTAAATTTCCTGCTGAAAACTAGTTTACGCTTTAATATGTTATTATAATTTATGATCTACATTAATTTAACCATTCCTGCAGTTTATATAAAAATGTTTTTATATTGTAAAAACCAAAATACTACTTTGATACAGAACTGAAGTGTTAGGAAAAGATACTTTTTCTTTTCAAACCAAGCTGTAATTATTGGAAAGAATAACCTATAGTTTGAATTTCATAAAAAAAAATACTAATTTAAAAATATTTTAATAACAATTATAATTTATTAAATTTGCAATATATTAAGTATAATATATGGCAATATGATTTTGGAAAGAAATTAATATATGCAGAAAAGTGATTCTTAGTAGTAAAAAGTTTATTAAAATGGAAAAGGATTTTATTTTTATTTAAAAAATTTTATTCTTTTCATTTTACTTCATTAAATTCAAATTATTTTATAATTTTTAAGTTTAAAATAATAAATAATATGTAAATTATTACAGTTTTATTAAAAAATAATTCTCATTTAACTAATTTTATACTGCTTATTTAAAAAATACTAAATGTATAATTTATTACCAATATTTTTTAATAAAAAATTACATTATTATATTATATTATTATATTATTGCAGTTATAATATTTAGAAGTAAGGAATTAATGAAATTAAAGTTTATTAATTTTTTACTTTTTTTTAAATAATTGGATAATTTATATATTTATGGGTATTACTAAAGTTCACCAGTAGTGATACTAGCATTATAATATACTTTTTGGCCAGAATTAAAAATCTATAAAATATTGGCCGGCATTACATCATAAATTCACTACTGGTGACCATCACCACTGGTGATATTTAGTATTACCCTATAAGATATTTACAAAATCAAACATCATATGACTTACAAGTTCCCATTTATTGACGTTTTAGGAAAGAGACAATAAAGTTAGAGAAAAAAAGTCTTTCGTATCGTAGCCCATATAGGCTACAGAGAGACAAAATTACATTGTTCATTTTTATCTAACTAGATAGTTCATTCATATAGATGTTTATACATTTTTATGTTTATTGTAACTTCATTTTTATTTCACTTTTGTCCTTGTTTCTTTAGGTAATAAAATAAAAATAAAATTTATTATTTCACAAATTATATTGTAAATGTGTATAAATAGCAAAATAGTGAGTATTTAGTTCCATCTTTCGGTTATCATTATTTAGGCTATATTTCGGTACCATGTGGACCGTTGATATCTTTTGCGGTCGGAAAAAAAACTGAAAAAATTATTATTAATTAATTATATGTAAACGGTGAGAAAAGGCAGAACATAATTTATATGAAAATTATATACAAATAAGCAATTAATCCGAAAACTTGGAAAAACAAAATCAAGAGAACCCATAATAATTTGTCCCCATCACTACGTCTACTCCTGATTATTTCTACAATAGCTAAACCATCGAGAAGAAACTAAATAATTGAAATAATCCATAATTATTAATTTTTGATAACGTTCAAAATCATATACCATAAATACATACAAAAGCTAGAAAAAAAATGCTATTAAAACAAAGTGTTATTCCCAAAAATTCGTCACAATGCCAATCTCGAACAATGGTTAATAAATTATCCATTTTTAAAGCAAATTGTATTTTCGCGTTTTTTTTTTAAAATCAAGCAGCAGAGTTAAGTATTTATGTTATTTTTTGCGATCATGAGAATGTGGGAATATTGTGGAACACTCGGCTCAGTATTACGTATTACCTTCATTCTCAATTATTATTGGCTGGTTTAACTGTCAATATTAATCCATTTAAAATGAAAAGCATTTTCATATTACTCATTTAATTTTACTATTAAAATTTTAAAACATATAATTATAAATTAATATATAAAAGCAAAATATGCACTAATTCCTTTCAATTTAATGATTTAACTATCATTAGATTCATCTCATTAATGAATCTAATGAGCTATATTTTATTGGTTTCTGATTACTGGTTAAAGAAAAATTAAAAAAAACCGAATTTTTAATTTTTTTTTTTTTATGACCTAAAACTTAATCTGGACCTGACCTAAACCTGATGTTTCAGATCAGATAATTAACTTCTGATTTAATTTGACACATAGTTTATTAATATAATACTTTTTATTTAAATTAATTTTATTAATAATTGAAAGAGTAATTTTAAAGTTTTTATTCTTATTAATAAATAAATTTACTAATAATTAAAAAAAAAATATTATTTTTATTTTTTTACAATTTAAAACCTGTTTTTATATATAATAAAGAACAGTGGAAACTGTAAAAGAGTGAGACGTGCATCACACATGTAAACGTGAACAAAACCAGTGGCAGAAATAATTATAAAAATATCAGATGATTGTCATATGACATATCGGAAGTATATATCTTATTATTGTTAAAATATCAGTGTAATATTATTATACTCTGATATTTAATGATATTTCTTCAAAAATCAGTTTTATTATTAGTAAAAAATCATTGACATATCAAATATTGATACTTATATCGGGTTTATAATATCTGACCGATATTTTCCCGCTTCCTCTGCCTAATCTCATCACTAACCTTTTTCTTATGTACCTCATCCAAGAAAGCATCCGTTTTCCTATCATCTTCGCAAAGTGAAGGGCTGGAAGGTACTGTTATCTCTGGTACAATAACATTTGCTTCACAAACAGGCGTATGTTGTTTGAGCTAAGCCATGTCTGAGTCAGGTACGTTGGCAGGTGATACCTCTGGTATCGGTTCTTCTTTGTTAAAGCAACCTTTTCATGAAAGGAACAATCCATTTCCTCATTCATCGACGATTTCCCGTGATTCTCTGTAACCGAATTGAAGTTAGATGAACTGCTGTTACTGTTATTAAAAGAATTAGTTACCTTGGTAACATTATCATTTTGCATCTGTCTCTGTTCCACTTTCGTGATTCTATCTCTAAACTCAGCATTCTCAGATTCAAGTTTAGTGGTAACTGCCCTATTTTACTCTAGCTCCACGATTATGACATTAAGTTTGCCAATCTTGACTGAATAATGCGATATAGTTTTCTCCAGCTCATCAGTTCTTGCCTTAAGCTCCTGTCTCAGCTTCATTTTCTCAACCTCATCCTCAGCAACCTTCTCTCTAAGTTTTGGAATTTTAGCATTCTCGGCCTAAACTTCTTCCTATCTTCCTAAGCTCAGCAATCTCAGCTAAGAGCTTGGCATTTAATTCTCTCAATGAATCAATGGATTGCATGTTCGATAATAATTTTTTATATAAGATGTAATAATTCAAAAGTTCGTCAGCATAGATATAAATGAGGCAATGCCTCACTGTTAAATATGGCTTTATTGATACAGAAATAATTTACATGATTCGATGATATTTACAAAATGAAATGGCGTTTCAGACCACACCAGTGTTTCGTTCATACACTAACACAATATCTCAATTAAAAATATTGACCTTAGTAAAACTCACTGAAAGTTTATGTTCCGCCTAATAAGCATCGAAATTCCTGAACAAAAAAATAGATATTAGCTTTGCAAACTCTGAGTCGCTTCCTTGCAAATGCACAATTATCTTAATTGCTGCTCATAACGTGAGAAATCTCACATCGCACAGGGTTACTACGCTTCCGGTCTGTGTTGCACACAAAAAGCCACATTAGTCAAATTCGGCCATTCGTACGACTGAAAAATTAAATAAATACCCTGAGAATTTAGTCGGAGAATCAAAAATCTAATGAGTAATGATAAAACCGTATTTCTTGTACTGATAATTACTTTTTTACTACTATACTTATTAATTTTTTGCTGTATTACGCCACAACAAGCCATCAAAAGTTTTATGCAAGAGTCTATCAGTCACGATGTATCCAGAAAAGTATATAAAGTATATATATACTTTAGACTTCTCTAAAGAACTTATCGCTTTTACAGAAACAAAATGTCATTATCATTAAACTGTTTGGTACTAGGACGAACTTCTAAAGATGTTATCACTACGTACATTGGCGAATACTCTGAAATTAATGGTGTTAAAGTCAACTCTGATGATTTGACCGTTGCAAGCTTTAAAAAACTTCTCCTTTGTGAAGAAGAACTTCAAGGGTTGACCAAAATGGATATTTGGAAAGTCGAACTCGACCTTAAGAGCTTTAAAGATACAATTTATACCGAAGATGAGATTAAAAAAATCGGCACGATGATGGAACCTGCGTATGTACTTAAAGAATATTTTCAAGATGATAAAAAACCTAAGCCAAATTACATTCATATCTTCATAGTCCCCTCTGGTAAGTGTCTCCCAATGGTTTGCCTCTTGAACAAGAAATTTGCAGTAACAAAATATAGTGTTCCTTTATTTTCTTGATGCTTATGTAATTGATCTTCTGTTTTTAGCCTCTGACTTTCCAAACAAAAGGACAAAGCTCGAAGGTTTGATGTTTTAGATCTAGGCTTGAACTTTAATGTTAACAGCTAACTCACATTTTAACTATCTCTATCTTAGATAGGACAACAGATTTTTTAAATGAGCTCTTGTGTCCCTTTGATACTGAAATTGATTGTACTAATGTTGAGCAGTTCCTTTCGGCAAAACTACCACTTAAATTGCCGTGTGTACCTGGTCTTGTTACGGGCTATACTGACGTAATTGAAGACATATTTTCAAGCTCTATTTATTCTCCTAGATTAAGTTTGATTGTTAGTGAAGTTATGGGCACATCATTTAAACAAATTTCTGGTGGGGAGGCAACAACTTTGGGAAATATTAATATTCATATTAAGAAAATTATTGAACTTGCCCAAGAATATGCAGAGAATTGTAGTGATTTAGATTTGGATCGTAACAAGACTTCATCCACTACCACAGAACTTCCGAGAGATCGACCAGATATGGCAATCTATTATAAGAACGTGCTTTTTATGATGGGCGAGGAGAAAGACCTTGATACTAGATTGAAAGATGCAGAAAGACAATTAGATGGATATTTTGACTTTTGGAATCCACTTGCCTTTGGTAGATTGCCATTTGTTATGGCTTTTGTAGCAGCCGGTATAAAATTGCAATTTTACTATTATTATCCGAACAACAACAATGTACCAGTACGTGTGAGAATTGGTAACACTATAAATCTTGGAACTACAAATCGAATGAATAACTTTAAGGCACTTCAATATACAATCAATGCTATTCGGATTATTCGGACTTGGGATCACAAGCAGTATATACAACATCCGAAGATAAAGTTATATAAAGTGATCCACCAAAGAAATGATACCACCGTCACAATAAACCCCAAAAAAGTAATTAAAAAAGTACAAATTGAGAACCGGGAGCCCACCTATAAAGATTTCCTTAAATATTTTTACAACAATATTTTTCCAAAATTAAATAATTATAAGTTACTTGAATCAAAATTTCATGCAAGATGGATATATTTAGTATTTGCACCAGTTGGATATATGACAATTCCTAAAGATGAAGATGAGCTGCGATATGCTATATGGAGTGTACTTAAAGTTGTAATGATCCTTCACGCAAATGAGATTGTTCATCGGGACATTCGTTGGGAAAACATCATGAGACTTACAGATAATAGTTGGATTTTAATTGACTTCGAAGAAGCTGCTCCAATCGGAAGAGGTAACCGAAGGTAATAATGATAATGGACTTATTTGGCGTGTATCAAATATTATTAACTAATTTTTACTATTTTGTTATAGTACACCTACATTAAATATTGCGGCTCCGGAATATAGAGGTGTGGAATCCGATCCATGCCGAGCAGCAGGTGATATCTGGATGATTGGAAACCTTTTGGACGATCCGATAATTAATCGAATTCAGCTTTCTGAAAGTGCTAGAAATTTTCGGGATAGATTGACACAACAAAATCATAGTGAAAGACCATCTGCAGCAGATGCCATTGATGACGACTGGTTTAGCGATATGTAAAGATAAAATGTTTAGCATAGATTTACAGTATTAGTGTATTTTCGTAGTTGTAAGACTTTCTAGATTTTTACTATCATATTTGGGTATCAAAATGATGTAATACAAAACAAATAAAAAATTAATATGCAATGAAAATCGCATCTTTATTATCTTTATTATTTTTGTAAAATAAATGCCAGTACCAACTGGAGTAGTGATATTTAAAGGGAGGTGTTTAATAGTGACATATATAGCGTGTTAAAATAATATTTGATATTTATAGTATTTATAGTGATATACTAAAGACAAATATATATATTAAAACTAAATTATTTTTTAGCTTGACGTCAGCCTTTTGGCTGCCCTTTTTTTTGCCTTTTATTTTGGTGTTCTTATGGAGCTTCAAATGTATATGGGAAGGCGGATGCATAAAAAATCACAGGCGCAATAAGAATCACATAAAGGTGTGATATAGACGCAAGGCAGATTAAAAAAATGATGAGATGTTTATTAAGGATTTAACATAAGATATAAGTGTTATAATAGAAAGATGATTCTGATACATTATGCTAACAGTAACAAAATTTTCAGTGAAATTGACCTGTGTTTGTTTGATTAATAGATCATTTAAACAACAGATTAATTAATGTTGGTCTCCATAAATAGTTGTAAGTCCAAAAGTCAAGCAAATATAATGGTTGTAAATCAGAATTACCATCTTTTAGCTAACCACAATAGTGTAGTATTTACAGCCAATTTACAGCTTACATTTATAATATTACAACTACTAAAGGTTGTAATTTGATATACTGTATAGTAATGCAGGTTTGTTTCAACAAACTAGAATGTTTTCCTTATGCAAGTCTCCATGCACATATTCTGAATCATGCAAAATATTTTCAACCACTTTATTGATTTCTCCTTTCAGCTCATTAGTAAGGTTGCTTGCCGAAACCTAGGGGTTTAGGCAAGATGGCGTTTCGCCGAAAAGCGAAATTCTGCCGAAACTATATTAAAGTTATATTAAAAAACTGGCGAAACTTTGGAGAAAGGCGAAACTGCCGAAACTTATTATAAATGCCGAAACTGCCGAAACTCTGCCGAAACTATAATAAATCTATAGTAAAATTTTGACGAAACTAATCGTAGGATTTTGAAGAGGTTTAGACAAGCAACCTTACTCATTAGTCAGATAATAATTGATTCACTATATTTTGACAAGCTTCTTCACTAGTATAAATATAAAATCTATCAGCAGAAATTGTAGGTGAAGGCATTATCTTTGCATTCTTGGTCTTCTTTGCAGAGGTCCTCAAACATACCAAAACTGATTAACAGGTACGATGTTTGTAGCTATTGGTGGTCAGTGATTGTTATGCCTGTACCACTTGTTGGATTCACCCAGCTTTGATGGTGTTGATAACTTATCTATAATATCGGCATATGATCCATGGTAAGATTATATGTTGGGTCAATAAATTATTCATAATCAACTAATGCAAAGTATCATTTACTTTACGTCTAATATTTTGATAGGATTTATAAAACTAACTCAATAAAGTCTTGCTTTGAGGTCAAATCCACTTTTTTATTATCATTAATAAATTCATAATCTTTCACTAGAACTACAATAACATGAAATGTGTTTTTTGAGGGAAGACAAGAAAGAAAAGCATAAGATTAAATCAACATATAATATCATATGACCTATATGACTTACATAAGTTATTTGTCATGTGACTTATAACTTGTAACTTTGTCATAAGATTCTTAATTCTGGCCAACATTATAAATTTGGCCAGTACATATTGACCTTAATAAAAACATTTAATAATCATCAATCATCTTTGACTTATATATGTATTTTTGGGATTCTATATAGTTTATTATATTTTAGAAACAAAAGTTTTAATTGATAGTAATATATTAAAACTAATAGAAAATAAAAAGAAATATGATAAATATTTTAATTGGAATGATATTATTGTAAAAATAAATGTTAAATTGTATATTGCAAAGTAATTGGTAAAATGAAAAATAAAATAACAATTATTGGAAATTATTAATATATTTTATTGTGAATTTTCGTATTAAAAAAATTTATAAGGTTATATGATTTGATTGCTTTTTTTTGAATAATTTATAAAGTTACATATTGTAAAGCTATTATAAAATTTTTGACCTTTCTTATTACCTATATATATTGTATATTGCTTGAGATTATACTAATATATACATAAAATTTTTATTTTAGAAAGTTTTATAAAATTTATTTCATAGTATACACTAATAAGTGTGTAAAAATTTTCATATAAATTTATTTTAGATTATTATAAAATGAGATATGAAGTATGAATATTTATCTTGAAATTTTTTATAACAAAAAAATAAAAAAATGATATAAAAATAAGTTATCAAATATTGATAATTGATTTATTATATTTTTATTTATTTCTTTTTACTAAATAACCTTGTATTAAAAACAAAATACCATTATTAAAATGAAGCACATACATATTAGTAAAATCACTAACTTTAGTCAAAGAAGTTTCAAACAATACATAATAATTTAATCCAAACCAGAATAAACTTATCTATTGCAAGTGTTAAAGCATAATTGTTAGAGAAAGAACACTTGTACTTATCAGATTTAAAAATAAAATTTTTGATAAAAAAGTTTTTTTTTTGCACTATTATGAAAATAATGTTTAATAAAAAAATATTTAATATAAAAAAAAAATAATTTGTGTAAAAAGAATGTTTATTTCGTGTGAAAAGCGGTAAATAAACAAAATGAGGCTGAATGAATATCTTCACAATAATATTTTAAAATTTTAATAATGGGTATACTTATTGTAACTATAATAATTATTATAGTTATTATATCATATTTAAAAAAAAAAAATTTCAGGTTTAATAATTTTTATAATGTACCTTTTAATTATTAAATTGATTATTTATATTATTTATATATAATTTGAAGAGATCATATAATAATAAAAACCACCATAGACAAATTCAAAACTGAACCGACTTTATATTACAATAAAAACACATAAGTTTAGATAACTAGTTAAATAACGAGATGTTTAAAAAAAAAAATAATTAATTAAACAATATTATAGTATTAAGGAATGTACACAAATTTTAAGAGAATGACGTAAAAATTTCTATTAACCATGAGCAATGTTATTTTTTTTTATATCCAAAAAGCTAATTAAATCAAAATAGTAAATTTATACAGTATCCAAAACTAAAAAAATAAATCTAATTGATGTAATAAAAAAAGTTCAGAATTTCAAGAATGATACTATTTAATATCTTATTGTTCGTTGCCTCTAATAATATTGACCAACCTGTAAAATATTAAAAATTTTAATATTAAATCATTTATTAAATAGGACATTATTAAATACTTACCAATCTAATCCTTCCGTTAAGCCATCGCCTTTTACAGCACTTGTTTTATAAATACTCCATTGTCTATTCTTTAATGTGCCTAAACCTAATGCATCTGATACTTCAGCTGCGGACATTGCGCCTACCATATCCTGTTTATTGGCAAAAACCAACAACGCAGCATCGCGTAATTCTTCCTCATCAAGCATTGCATGAAGTTCCTCTTTTGAAGTACTCATACGGTCACGATCTACCGAATCTACAACATATATAACTGCGTCGGTGTTTGCATAATAACAGCGCCAATATGGCCTTCAATGATAAAATAATATTAGAATGGTAAATGTTGCAATATGTAACAAATATTACGATAACAATTAACCATACCTTATACTTGTTTGTCCTTATTGAGAAGATTATAATATAATAGAAAGATAATTTATAGATTAATCTAATTATAAAGGAAAATTAACCACAAAATCACTTAATTGAATTAGAATATGTTACCTCCTAGATCCCATACTAACAATGAAATAAATTTAAAAATTCTTTAGTACAAACATACGTAATGATAGTACATATATACGCATAAATACATAAAACATAGTTCACCTTGAAATTTAATATTCTTATATGTTACAGTTTCTACATTAAAGCCAATAGCTGCAGATCAAAAAATTTTCATATTAGCATTCCATAGTCTCAAATTTTAATTTTTGATCCAACTTACTTGGAATAGTTGTCACTACTTCTCCGATCTAAAAATAAATGAAGATTAATAAAATAATTAGAACTTATGGCTATTAACATGAAGTATAATGAATCTCAAAAATGAATCAAACAAGGAAAATATTAATTTAATGCTCTTTTCATCCTCTGATAAGTATATAATGCATTAAACATTTTAAACGTTGTTAAAAAAAAGAGAAACAACCAAAAAAATAACATACCTGTAATCGATATAGTATTGTTGTTTTTCCAGCACCGTCTAAACCTAAAATAAGTATTCGTACTTCTTTTTCACCCCATAGCCTTCCTAACACTCGACTAAGTATTGCACCTGGTTAGAAAGAGACAGGAAACCAGGGAGTCCACACTGAAATTAGCTTAGAGGGTATGTTGATGAAAGAGGAAAAACTTGGATTTCATAACTTTATTGAAGATAACTTGATACTTACCCATTATGTTCTTAAAGATTAAATAAAAAAATTATGTATATATATATAAATCTCGACAAATCTCTATAGAGTACGACTCAATTTATTTATTTTTTTTTAAAAAAAAAGAAATTATGATTTATTATTTTTTTTTTCGGACGTTGACCGAACTTTTATAGCTGTGAAAACTTCTGTATCTGGCATAGGTATGATTTCCATTACAAATCTCTCACATATCCGATCAGACCACGTGTTATATTAATTTCCCGAATTCCGAGATGTTCTTTTTTTTAAAATTGGAAGATTTTGAAGGGTATTATGTCTAACTTTGACCAGGGCCGAACTAATGAAAAAACACAGAAACGCGTTCCGAAATGGAAGAAACTACTGTCACTTAAAAATTCTTCTGTTACAGTACCTTTAGAGTACTCTTCTAAAACTGAAGAAAACGAAAAAATCAAAAGAAAGAAAAATGCTTCACATGATGATTCGTTCGAAATTGAAAAGAAAAGAAAAAAACACAAGAATAAAGATAAAGTAACAAAAGAAGAGAGAAAGAAAGAAAAAAAAGATATACACAGAAAGAAAAAACAAAAGGTTAATTATGAAAAGATAACTGATGAAAAAGATAGTGATCGTAATGAAAGTGAAAATTTATCTATACAACTTCCATTGGAAAATAATAAGACAAATGATTTAAATTCGGTATTAGCAATTGAACAAACCAAACTTAAGATACCAGAAGAATTTACACAAACTGTCAAAGCAGGTGCGTTAATGATAAATTTTTTTTTTCTTTGATATTATATTAATTACTGAAATTTTTTTTTAGGGTTAAAATATCTTATAAATTGGCGTTACTGCAAAGAACAATGGAAATTTCAAAAAATACGTCAAATTTGGCTGCTTAAAAACGCATATAGTGAAGATTTAGTGAGTTAATGCCATAATATTGTTTGTAATATTCTCGAAAATCGAAATCTAGTTAAAATTATTTTAAATCTTTGATTGATATAGCTTTCGGAAGATTTTTTCGAATTATTTTTGGATTATATCGCGGAATTATTAGGACAGTCGCGTGATGTAAGTTTATAACTGTAATATAATTTTTCTTAGTTAACAAAAAATAAAATATTATTATTATTTTTTTTGCATGAACTTAATTAGAGAACACTTGAAATGGCTCAGGATATGATCAATAGGCTTGAATCTGAACAGAAGGACGATGAAACAACAGATCAAAAAGATGACAATGAAAAAAGAAAGGAACAAATCAAATTAAATAGAGCAAAAGCAGTAGTGAGAGTACTTTCGTAAATACTATAAATTCTTAATTCTTATTATTAATTTAATTGAAAAGTAAAGGGTAGGAATAAATCTTAGCTTTTAGTAATAAAAATATGTTCAAAGAAAATAATTTTCGAACTTAAGGTGTTGTTATAATATTATATTTCAAAAAACCAACTTTTGGAAACCCACGAACATGTGAAACGTATTACATATAAATAAATCACCCTTTCTTTTCAGTATAAGCTATGTAATTTAATCCTGTTAGAAAAAACTTTGATACAAAAATCATAAAAATATTCAATATGCAAAGAAGAGAGAAAAATAAAAAAAAGTTGGTTTCCAAATACTATTATTTATAATGAATTGTCCATGGTTTGGTAGCTCTTTCACTAGCTCGTTGTCTCTCCAATTCCTCTATGTCATTCTCCATTTCAATTACACCAGCAGTCAATATTTTTACAGTATCCAACCAGAGATAATTCCGTCGATCCAATTGATTTCTAACTCTCTTTGCAAATTGCTCCATTTTAGTGACATATTCTACAAATTCATCGTGATTAAATGATTGGTTGCCAAATTTTTGAATTTGATCGACTACACCCTTCTGCATAGGATTTTGTGGAGGAGGATTATTTACAATAGAAGTTTGTAAACCGGTAGCCCCATAAGGTAAAATGGTAAAAGAAGTATTAGAGTTGCGGTCTTGTGTCGGTGTGCTTGTAGATGTAATTCCAGGAATATTAGGAGTATTAACAGGAATAACGGAGTACTGACGAAAAAGATCTGGGTGTTTATTGATAGCACATTTTTCCCAATATGAATGAATTTGTCGAGGAGTATAATTTTTCATAATGCCTTTGCTTCTCAGTAATTGGCGTAGTTGAATAGGATTCAAATGAGTGTTTTCTTCGATTTCCTTCCTGCATTCATCGCTAATGTCAGAATTAGAAACTGGTCTATTATGAAGAAGACCGTGATGAATTTCCAACATTGCTTCAGATGCAGGCATATCAATCTTCATTTGCATTTTCCCTTGACAAGGAAATCTCTCCATTCGTTTCCTATTTGAACCTTCCTTGTATTCCTTCATGGCGACAACGGACTGGCTGCAAACGTAATAAAACTTTGCAACATCCTTGTGACGCATTGAGGTATTCATACAATTATAGCTTTATATAGAATAAGAAAAAAAAAACGAATCAACAAAGAGTCGAAAATATTTAAGTTGCCTATACCAATGATTAACTGATATATTAAAAGTAAAAATAATCTTACGTCCAGTTATATTCGTCAGCTCTTTCTATTTCTTCCACAATCCAACGGGCAACGTCTTTAGGGTGTTCGTTACCAGTAATAACATTAGAGAGATTGAGGGCTACTCGAAGATTCAAAGAACAAATTTGAGTTCCGTCAGGAACGGTCGGCTGTGGGTTACTAAGTAACGCTCGCATTTCAGCAGAGACGAGGGCCGCTAGATCCATAAGACCTACGGTTTTAAGAGAAACTCGTAAAGAGTCTCCGTCGACAGTGTCGTCATCGCGTTTTCTTTTTGTCTTTTGTTTCTTGAGAGCCCTTTGTTCGATACAACTTTGGCATGTCTTCCACTTTTTATTTTTGTGGAAAAAAGCCTCGTCTTGTTTAGTTTGATGGCAGGATGTACACACCGGCATTTGTAGGATTTATGTAATTGGATATATCGCTGGGAACCAACCGCAAGGGAAAAAAATAGTATCAATAAATAAAAATCTACCGTAAGAATTGTGGAAAAAAAATTTTTTGGGAGGAATGTTGGGCAACAAGGAAAAAACCCAAAGATCCATCGACTGATTAATTTATATAAAAAAGCAGGAAGTGAGTGACGCCAATTTCCGTAAGCGGGATTGGCTAAATGTTACTTTACTGGATAAGTTTCCGGTTTTAAAGGAAAGATCCTCCGAAACTAACCGGAAGAACAGAAGTTTTTTTCGGATAGATTTCATAGACGGCAAAATTACTTGTTGTAACAGGTTCCACTGTTAATAATATTTTCGTTACACGTTGGTTTAAATTCTCCCACACACACATCTCCCCATCAATTTATCATTACCTATAAAAATTCCCAAATCTTGCCGGGTTCCTGGTAATCTATCACTCGGTTGCAGATCGAATTATACGGAAGTTTAATGGTTTTCATATCCGGAATATAGATTGGCTATCCGGCAAAAAATCTCACCGTGACATTAGCTTTCAATTTTTACAGTTGTTAATTCCTGGCTATAGATCTTCTCAACCGCACTTAATATATAAATAAACTAATCATGGCTACTAAAGTTCAAAAAATTATGGTTCAACCCATAGTAAGTAGTTTACTTTCATTTTTTTTCTTTACTTTTTTTTCTTTAAAAAAAATATATATAAATACGATCTAATAAAACGTTTGTTTTTTAGAACTTGATTTTCAAGTATCTTCAAAATGTAAGTTTTTTTTAAAATATCTTGCAATGTGTTACATAATTTCTTACATTTTTTTTAAATTTATCAGAAAACAAGAGTTCAAATTTGGTTATATGAACAAGTAGATTTGAGGATCGAAGGGCAAATTATTGTCAGTAGTATTCACTTGATAATTCTTTTTTACATCTATTTTTATCTATTAAACAAATCTTTAATTATATATTTACATTTAGGGGTTTGACGAATTTATGAATCTTGTACTTGACAATGCTGAAGAAGTGAATCTCAAGAAAAAAACTCGAAATGCATTGGGTAATTAAACATGTCTTCAACTGTATTAATTAGCTTTAATATTCATTATATTTTCTTATTTATTCTAGGTCGAATCTTATTAAAAGGAGATAATATAACTTTAATCCAAAGTATTTGATCGGAAACATAGACAAGTTGTAAAAAAGTTCCGAATGCTATAATTCAGTAGTTTTTACTGAAATAGAAATAAAATTAGAAGGAATAAAAATGGGTAAAAAAACCATCTATATAATGTTAGAAACAGGTTTGTTCTGATGAAAATAAAGTTTTTCGGTTGTGGTGAGTATAATCTTTCAAGCAATAAATACACATTTTCAATTGTGTTTAGTAAAAGATTTGAGTATTATCTTGATCTGCGGTAGTTCACATGATAAGCATCTTTAATTTTATAAATAAAAATTTCAATGCAATGGCTGCCCTTCCTACCCTTCCAAAAAATCATTTCACTACTAAATGATCATTCTTACGGTTGAGAATTGAGACAGACTCTGATTGATTCCTCAAAAAAGTACACTAATGACCATAGATCCTTCACGTGACTTTCCGTTATCCGATTTGAAGTAGTCTTCTTACTAAATCCCATATGTTATCTATATATATATCAATTCCCAATTTCTTTCTTGAATAAGATCAATCTCTAATTTCAAGCAGCTTATGTATGTACTGTACCAGTAAAAAATTTTCGGAATACATGTCGTTCCTACCCCTCGATTTTCATGCACACGTGTATGTGACAAAATCTGAGATAACATTGCGCTTAAATTTAAACTAATTTTGGTATGTGTAATATTGTGTTATAATTTGCGTAATATCACATGGAAAAACTCGATTATAAGTAAACATAATTTCTTATTTATTGATACTATTTTACTTTTGAATTTTTTTTTAATTGACGTTTTGTCAAAAGAAGAATTACAATTAATATAACTATCGAACTCAAACGTCTATACTTTCCTAACATTATTGATAAGTCTCGCCATATAATTAGTTTATTTAATCTAATTTCTTATATTAATTTACCAATTACTATATATTACTATATATGAAAAATTGAATGAATATCTAATTTTTTTTTAAAAAAAAAATAAGGAAAGAAAAGAATTAATAAATTAGTTTTCCCTTTATGCAATTCAAAATTAATTCAAATTTTTACTTACAATAAAGTCAAAAATTAGAGTGCCTCCACTTCCTACTAACCAAGCTAAATTCATTAGCAAATAGTGTGGTTCTATTGAGAAGAAAATAATCGACTTTTGATAATAATTTAATAATTAAAGGTTAGTTATGTTAAAAAATATTAATTAAGTACTTTAAAAATCGAAATTCTTCATACCAAACTATAGGTTATATTTCCTAACACACAAAAACAGAACATTGCTAGTGACAAACCCTCCGTAGATTTATTTTGATAGTTTTGAATAATTTGTGGAATTCGAGCACCAACTGTTACAATTATCAAATGATTTTGGTTAGTAAATATTAATAATAAAAATGGTGATCTTTACTTACGATAAAGAAATGCGCTAGCCCATCCAAAGATTTGTGCTACAATGTTCATTCCTTGATCTTCGCTGTTAGAAACTTCCTGTGATTTCATTCTGCTGGTGATGACATATGAAATTACTCCTGTTAAGCAAACCCCAATTAATGAAGCGAAAATAAACAAGAATTGCTTAATTCTTTCTTGACGTCTCGACTCCGGGGTAGAAGTATTATTAATAAGAGGAATTGTTTCTCCAACAATTTCATCATCAGTTTGTCTTCTTCGTCTGCGGTAATAGTAAATTTGGATAATTACTATTATATCAATTATTATATAATAAATAGCAAGAATTATCTAATAATAAAAAAAGTCGTTTATATATCATTTACAATTCATTGGAGTTCAGTCTACATGATAGATTTTTACATATAATTTTACATAAAAAACAATCATTTACTTACCATAGTTGTAAGCAGTTTTTGATATACTGCTCCGACTAAATTTAACCAATCGCCGACGGCCCATATGTAAAGAAAAGTAGGTGATAACGAATCTCCAGACTTGCGTTTATAATTTATCCATATTTGCCTGGAAAAGAATTTTTATCAATTTCCTAATTTAAGTACTCTTGAAAGTAACATATTTCATTGTAATTATAAATTTTCTTTTTAAACAAAACTTACGGAAATAAAACTACGACCCAAGAAGCTATCGATATATAGCCAGCAACATTAGAAAGAACTACGTTTCTTTCCATTATTAATATAAAATATAAAAATATAACTTATAACTGTAAAAGTGATGTAGGTTAAAGAACTGGCAGAATGGGAAAGTTTAAATAATATTTATAATATTTCAAAATATCAAATATTTTTATTATGATTCTAGTTTTAGTAAAGTAATACATTAGTGATGTAGCACAATTAGGTGAGTCATCATGCACTGTATTTGCCACATGTTTAAAAAATAAATTCTTGATAGTTGTTAGGCGTTTGATAATTTTTATCTGATGACTTTTTGATTTTTTTCATTTAGAATGTCTGCATTGATAGAATAGTAAAAAGATCTTAAAAGATCTTGATTAATGGTAACAATTTTCAGGTGAACTATGTAGAATTTCCCAGTTTAAAAAAACGTAATTTTATTTGCCAATGCCAATATTATGCAGATAAATCTTTTGTGTTACTACAAATTTGGATTAGCATAAAATATTACAATCCAAAATGATGTTCGTACAAGTTTTCTCTTGGCAACTTACGCATTGCCACAAACTTAACTTATTATACGAACTTTTCAAATTTCACATGTTTTATAATTATGACCGAAATTGAAAGTTCTAATCCTGTTCAAACTCCACAGACGAAAGGAAAAAGCAAAGCTGTCGAAGAAGATACAAATGTAGGAAGAAAACCTATATCAACAAATAAAGTAGCGGTCGAATATCAACTTAAAGCTATTGAATGGATTGAACCTTCTTCAGGAGAACTTCGAAAATTAAAAGTTATCACGCAAAATGGTATGATCTATATACGTTTTATAAAGTTTTATTAAAAATAAAGATTAATGAAATATATTTTATTTATATAAATAGAAAATGGACCATGCCCATTATTAGCACTTTGTATGCATAAACTTTTCCTTTAAACGTAATGTTTAATTTTATGCATAATGAATTAATTAATTATTTAATATGATAGGCAATGTATTGCTGTTACGAGGAGATATTAAAATCAAACCCTATGACCGTTCATCTGTTACTTATGATTTTCTAGTAGAATTATTAGGAGATTATTTGTTGAAATCAATCCCACAAGGAGAAGTCGAGGTCTTATATTTTACCTTAATATTTTATATTGTACCAATTTATATTTATTGTTACTGACTTTTTTCAATTAGATCCGGAATGGATTACAAGTAACAAATGGGAAATCATCCCAAAATCAAGAAGAAACGAAATTACAATCAGACAATGTTTCAAATGGAGTTGAAGATTTAACAAATAAAGTTCAGCAGGTTACATTGGAAAATGGTGTAGCAGAAGATAAAGAAAATGAGCAAATAAATAAAAACAATGGTGAAGTTGATATCATAAGACCATCTTTGTTGGATTATCATCATACACTCAACACTGCTTTATCTATCATTCCATCATTACAAACCGGATTGGATGTGAATGTTCATTTCAACTCAATTCATGGATTTGAACCTACTGCGGAATTATCAGTTTTTGATGTATTCCATGTTGATCTTGTTCATGGATGGGTAGTTGATCCTCAAGATGAAGAGACTTGGAATGTAGTGGTTGGAAAATGTGGCAGTTATAATAAAGCGGTAGAGTGTGTCGTTGGTGGTGATTCCGTGAGCAAAGGTATTGTGGTAGAAAGTTCGAATAAAGCTTCAAATAATGGATTTGAGGATTCTAAGAGTTCTCTAAACGAAGACGACAATATAAGAGTACGGGATGGTAAGTTGTATGGCATTCGAATTTTAATTTTAATTTATTTGTTTATTTATTTTCGGAATTTTTTAACACAATTTTAGCTCTAATTACTTCACAATTTTTGGATTCTACCGCAACACAACTCACATACCATGGTTTGTTATCATTATCCGAGACTTTACCACCAGGGCACCTTTGCACATTTTTCCGGAATAATCATGTGAGTTTATGATAACGTACATGCATGCTAGAGTGGGTAACTTTTTACCTTAGTCTACCTTAAAATTGATTTCATTATTGTTTTTTTTTAATTATCAAAATATATATATTCTATTTAATATTAACATCTATTTATTTATTAAAAGTTTTCAACACTTTATAAACATCCTGAAACATCCGTACTGTATATTTTAGTCACTGATGCAGGTTTTGTTCATGAAAGGTCTGTGGTATGGGAATCACTTATTGATGTAGATCAAAATGCTTCAGAATTTGTGAATGGACAATTTAAAAAAGGTGAAGCTACTGGTGGAGATTATGTAGATGTTGTAGAAGAACATCAGGATTTAACAGGAGGTGGTGATCAAGAGTAAGTGAAATTTCTAGTATATCGAACATATTGAAAATTTTACAAATTTTACGCAATGATTTAATATATATATGGGAATACAAATGTATTTATAACACATTTCTTTATAGTTATGCTTTAGCTTTAAGTCTTCAACAAGAAGAGGAACGGGAAGCTGAATATCGACGTCAAAAAGAATCACAGCGTAAACAACAAGAATCACAACGTAGACGTCAAGAAGAAACACAAGGAAGGAAAAATCACCATGAATCAACTTCACAAATCTCAACTAGTAGTACTTTTACTACTTCATCTGAAAAGGAAAAAAAGAAAGATAAATGTATAATTTCTTAGCATTTTGGGCACAAGCAATTATTCTTTTATTATTTAATTTAAAAATTTATTTTGTTTATTAAGAAATATTTTAAAGTTGAATTTTTTTTGTGGTTTGGTTAATCTGTATCATATATACTTTGTATATTATTATATTTTGACTTTTAATTTATAATAAATTCTAACCCATGAATTTAGTAATTTCATTAGGTAATTTTTCATTTAATATTTAATATTACTAACGTAAAAGTAGTAATATTAAAAGAAAGTTCTTTTATTACATTACAATGATTTCCATAGTAGTTTAAGAAATTGAAACGTACTTTCTTAATTAGATTGCTTTCACATTATTAAAAAAAACAAAAAGAAAAAAATGCTAATCGACAATTACATTATTTACCAACTTTTTTTTTTACATTAAAATTATAAAAAGAAAATCGTTTTTTTTAAGAGTTAACGATTTTCTATAGAAAAAATTGTTCGTTTGCTTTCTTTGCTTTAAAATAATGAGTTGCAATCTCTCAAACATCATTTTAATGAAAGATCCCGATCTTTCAGAATGTATATACAAAATATTTCTCGTTCCCTTATTGAGAACGTTGTTTATATGGGGTTCCACGGTTTCCTATAATTAAATGAAATAATACACAGATTAAATCATGAAACTTAGAAATAACTATTAAAATTTTAATTGTCAAACAGACCTTGGTATCCACCACCTCTTCCACCACGGGGACCTGAACCACCACGTCCACGATAATTTCCATAATTTCCACCATCACGATAATAACCTCCTCCTCCATAATTATTGTAACCTCCCGAATCCCTTCGAGGCCCTTGGCCTCTATGTCCACGATTACCGCGATAACGCCCTCTGTGTCCACCAGAACCCTGTGATAACGGCGGTGGTTGATTACTATTTTGTTGAGTTGATGCCTGTGTTAGTTTTGAATCTGATTGATCTTCTGAAGTAGTTTGTGATTCTTGAACAGGTGGTTCCTCTTGTTGTTGAGACAATTCTTCTTGTTCAGTAGAAACCTGTTGTTGATCATCCTGTTCAATAAATTGCTGCTGTTGCTGTTCCACTATATATTGTTGTTGTTGTTGTTCAACAGTGAATTGCTGTTGTTCCACTGCATATGTATCATAACTCTGTTGTTGACTATATTGTTCTTGAACATTAACATCTACAACTGTTTCTTCTGCTGGATTTTGTTCCGCATCTGTGCTTTGATAACCAAACGTTGTATTATTATTGATTGTGTTATCAAAAGCTTGAGGTTGAGATTGATCATCTAAATATTCAAACAAAATGTTCACTCAATGAGAAATTCAAAACATAAGTTTAGTTGAAAATAAAATGTATAATTACCAGGGCGCATAAATTTCAATTCAGCATTAAATTCGGTAGTAACTATAACAAGAATTAAAAATCAAACATCTGTAGATAACGAAAATAACCTTTTGAATAATGAATAAATTTATACCTTCAATGTGATCGGGTGTGTTAATAATTTCAAATGTTTCATTCAATTCCTCTTGATCTCCGGAAGTTTCTAGTATAGGAGGGTTTTTAATCAAAGAACGTAACTGAGAATCTAGAATTAAGGATCGAATCTTTTATTAAAAAAAAAAAAAATTTTTTTTCTCAAAACATCATAAAAAGATAATGTGAAATACATGATATTCCATAGGAAGAAGGAGTTTCATCACTTGATGCAACTTGATCCGTTTCAGGGACACCATTAGGCAATATCAAACCCTCATCACCTGAGTTTAATTTGCCGACAAGATCCAATGCATGTCGGATTTTTTCTTCATATGGTTCTTCATTCTCTGCTTCCTCAGATAAAGTTGTAAGTTTAGCACGAAGAGTTTCAACAGCTTCGAATTCATTATCCGATAATTGGACAATACCGCGTTGTTGAAAGTGTACAAGCCTAAAAAAGAGGATGAGCTGTAATAAGGATTTACAATGCGTAGCCTAACAATAAATTTTAAGTCAGTAAATTAATACCAAAGAAAAGAAATATTTATTTTATATGTGAAAACAAAAGAAAAGGAGATATATTAATACCTTAACTTTTTCAACAGCATCAGCAATTGCTTGATCACGTTCCAACTGCTGTGCCTTTTTTAGTTCAGCTTGTTTCTTAAGTTCCTATTGAAATTATATCGACGAGAAAATTAATGATTACGCAAAATAATAGGGACCAATTAACCAAAAGAAAAAACTTTAAACATACGTCTTTTTCAAGCAACTCTATCTGCTTAAGTGTTGATTCAAATTCTTTGATAGCACCACTAGTTTCACCTTTTCTTTCGAGAACTTTAATTTGATCTTCACTTAATTGAGGTTCAGAATCGGAATTTTTAATGGCTTCATATTTCTCAACATTTCTCTATAGAACAAATAATAAAATTATTAATTAAACAATTATGAAATATACATAATTTTCGCGTTCATCTTAATTCTTGTAATAAATTCGAATGTGAATAATAGTTCAAAGAAATTGAAGATAGTAGACTAGTCCCATCCCAAAAACTCATTGATTACAATAAAATAATTTTTTTTTTTTTATTAAAAAATAATAAAGGATATAACAAAATAAATTAAACCTTCATACCATCACTTTGTTTAATTTTCTAAGTCTTTTATTAATCACGTCAAGGTATGGGTTTTTGTTTACGTTTTCAAGAGAAGAATCCCCGGATTCAATAGCAGGTGTGATTGGAGAAAACGTTTCCTGGGGTAAAGAAGAAACATCTTTTTCAGTGGTAACTGCCAAAGATTTGCTTTTATCCTTCTTACGTGAAGGTGCGTTACTTTTGTTTTCAGTTTCAACGTTAGGCATTTCGAATTATTACTACTTTTTAGTTTACGTTTTTGAATAGGAAAATTTCTTTTGTTAAAAACACCGAAAATAAGATACCAAGTAAAAAATTTTTTCACAAGAATTTCAACAAAAAAAACCTGTTACTTTTTTTAAAAAATTTTTTTTTTAAAAAAAAAATTATTCTTATCACGTGCGGCAACGAATGATGTGGATGGAATGGGATCCACCACATTTAAAAAACTTATCGACTATCTCTAAGCCCCCTTTTCTTTGAATAAAGACAGAAATGGTTTGCCAAAGAACAATTGTTTTTGGAAAATGATTTTAAAGATGGAAACTAATGGAATAATAATTGTATATTTATTGTCTTCTTTTTTTTCTATATTTGTTTTAGGGTACTCGTAGAATTACTTTCAACAAAGGGACAAAAAGCATTCAAAGTAATTGTAACCGAATAAGGTAGTAAATAAAAAAGCGAGAAGATTCTGAAAATAGTTTGCGCCAAAACTTTACTTTCTTTATTTCCTTTGCCTAAAAATGTGACTTTATCATATGAATGATTTTGATTGGAGATCGCTTTGAATTAAAGTTTTTTTTTTATTTTTCGCGCTCTTCCCAATGTCATTGGCCATTCCCATCAGAGTAAAGTTTAAATAAAAAAAAAATTTTTTTGTTAGTCACGTGATTTATTACTGCGAGATAATTTTTTTTATTTTTACAATAATATTTGAATTCACAAAAAGAAAAAGGCCATTTAAGAATACTAATCAAAAAATTATTTTTTTTTTTTTTTCAACAAAATCCTTCATAATTAATAGCCATCCTTTATTTTTTTAATAAAAAAAAAGATAATTAATTAATCAATCAGACATTTTATTATTATAATTATAAAAAGTGAAAACTTTATTTATAACTTTATACTTTATTTTATAAAACCTTATTTTTTATTAAAAGGTATTTTTATTAAAAGTCGCTTCTAAATTTTTCAGCATGTGAGATCTTTAAAGATCTTTCTTAAATTTAGTTAGACCTCTCATAAATCTAAGCTATCCCAATAAAGTAATACACATCGTGTGGTTTATTATTATTTGAATTAAAAAAAATGGTTACAGACTTGCAGTTTATAAAACACTCATTATTCAAAAAAAAAAAAAAATAATATTTGGTGTAATTAAAAATTATTGAAAATGGGCGAAATTTAAATTTATTGTAAAATACCAAATGAGGTCACATACAGGTTTGGCTCTTCACGTAATATTTTGCCAATCAAATCGAAAATTCTGATCTAAGGCGCAGCCTCGCTTCCGCCACATATTTAATTAATAATGGGAAAATCTACATTACTACATTATGTGACTATCAAAATCGGTAACAATTTATTATATTAATTATCAATATATTAAACATTTATATTAAATTCTCCCCGCTTTTTGATTGGTTAAAAATTAAGTTTAATAAAGTTAAACCATATCGATACTTAAGATATATACTCACGTGCCATAATGTCACAATGATGAAAAAAAAAAATTCGTTATTTCATATAAATATAGCCCATTTTTGTTATTTGTACCCCTTCTGGCCAACAGTATGCACTGACACGTGATATCGCTTGGCCGAATTTTCCTTAATTCTGGCCATGGGGGTATGAATAACAAAAATTGGGGTATAAATAACAATGGCCTAAATATACTATGATGCTTTATTTAATAAAAATATGTTTTGCAAATAATTATATATCCAAATAATGGTTTACATATATATGTCTACAAAATAACTATTAATCATATTTTCAACAAAATTTATTGTAATCTTCTATAAAATCAAGCAATAAACAAGTTTTGGGAAATTTCTTGTCGGAATATTATCTTCAGGATATATATCTTCGGGGTAAGGTCATCAGGAAAATGTCCTTTCGGGTTTTCGGACAATCATTTTTCAAGCAAAGAGTACGTCGGAAAAGTAGATGTCGGCAAGTCTTAAAAAAACTTCGTATATTGGAGCGTAAGCAACAAATAGATATACTTCTGATCACAACTGAAAATAATATTTTGGATAGACAGTTTAATCGGTTCAATTTTCTGACCAGTTCAATAATAACATAGGAAAGATATTACAGTTTCTGTAATACAATATAACTTCGCTGGATGGGTCGTAATTCCGGGGCTAAAGTCATATATCGTATAAGTCGTGATAGATCAAGCAATAAATTCAACTTCGTAATGAATTTCACAAATTATAAATCTTAATATCAGTAAAATATGATAATGCACAAAATAAGTACACAAATCATGTGAAAAGCTGAATTAAAAAAAGTATTAAAATTTCAGGTTATTTCCTGAAGGGAATAGGAGGCATTGCTGTACGGTAAGGATTACATATATCGTAATTTATTTGGCTTGTTCACTTGTGTAACGTAAGGTAATTCCTATAACTTGTTTGTGGCTTATTGTAAAACAATAGATCTTGAAGGTTTAAACCAAGAATTCAAAGAATAAAGAATCGTGTTTACAATAAATAAATTAAATTGAATATGAATTATAAATAACTTTATTTATTAAAAAAGAAAATGGCAAGTTTATTTAAATAAAGATCATTTTTTACGAAGAAAATATAAAGTTATTGTAAATTGTAACAAATACAGTACAAAAAAAAAGTCATCTGACAAATATTCTGATGGTTCGATTTTATGGACAAGCAAATTTTTGAAATTATTATTTATTTTAAAATAGATTTCTTTTAAAAAAGTATTAAAAGAAAGAGATAAATATATTTTCGAGCATTTATTTATAAGATAGTTAACATTCTACAAGGGTTTTTACATCATAACTCAGCCAATATTGCTCCGATTCAAATGACCTTGCTACCTCTTATTGAGATAATTTGAATGAGCTATAATCCAATCACTGGTTTGCCAAGATATAACCCCTGTAATTTGTCCATTAATATCATTTTCGAACATTTTACTAATTAGGCTAAGCAAACTTGAGATATTATCCATTTAAATATTTTCAGGATCCTGTAAAATTTGATAAGATTTAACTAATTTTCACCAGGTGATATCATGTATTACAATTATATCTTTTAGGATTAATACTTTATAAAAAAAATTTAATCAATACCTTATGAAAAAAATTTAATCAATATTCAATACTTTATGAAAAAAAATTTAATCAATATTTTGTTAAAAAATAATCAAAAACATTTATATCTCCATAAATATTTAGTAATGTAATTATTAAATAATTAAGAAATTTATTTAATATATAATTGCTTTTTTTACTATTTTTTGCTAAATATTTTAAGAATTTGAAATTTTAATTATAATATTTATATTTTAAAATTAGCAAATAGAAAATAAAATTTAAAAGTTATTACTATTATAAAAAATGCAAACTGATTCCTATATAATATTATACTAATCCTTATAAAATTAAAATACAAGTAATTTTGTTTAACTAAATAACTTTATCAAAATAGTAAAATTATACCAAAAATTTAAAAATTACTTTTATAAAAAGGGTATTGCTAAATATCACCAGTGGTGATCATCACCACACTACTTAATTCTGGCTGAAAATTATAATTTTGGCCAGAGTTAAAAAACACATCATAAATTTTTTTTCAAAAATTTCAATTTAAATAATAAATGTGTAAAACAAACCTGAGTAAATACTAATTACACTAAAATTTTGAAAATTTGACTAAAAAAAATCTTTTTTAAAACAAAAAATTGTATTTTGCTTATAAAATCAAACTTTCCTATTTTTCTCAAAAACTATCTAAACAACAGCCTTTATAATCTAAGGCAAACTTGTTCTACCCATAAATTTACATATACAATCAACCCTTGTTATAACGATTAATGAACCCTAGGTTCCGGACCTCAACTTCGCTATAGAACTATAGTGAAGATTTTAAGAGATTTGATTGGTTAATTCGTTATAGCAAGGGGAAATTTATTATAGTTGTCTGAAAAATTCACTATATCAAGGGTTCACTATATCAAGGTTTAACTGTAGTAATAATATTTATATTATAATTAGAATAATATCTCAGTCAAAAATTTTTGAAAATTCAAAAAATATTTTACAAATATTATATTTAATTATAAAAATTAAGAATTTTGAAAAAAAGTTTCAATTTAAAAAAATTTATCATATAAAAGTGATTAAATTTTAAAAATTATTTAAAGTAATAACTTTACTAGTATTTAATACTATAATATATAATTTCACAAAAACTATAGCTTAAATTAAACAAATTGTATTAATTAAAATTACTCAGTATTTTTAAAAATAATTAAAAAAAAAAATTTGAATAACACTATTTTTTGCATTAGAAATTTTGCAAAATAAAAAACTAATAAAAATATAAGTAAAGTTTGCATAAACTTAAAAGTTGATAGTGATTTTTTAATGGAATTAATACTAACTTTGCAAATATTTTTAAGAAAGTAATAATTATTACTTTTAATGTTAAAATCATTATATATTTCTTTTTTTTAAACTATATATACTGCAATATATTAAATACTTTAATGTAAAATATAATTATTAATTCATAATCTGCAAATAAAATAAAGAGTCTTATATTAAAAATTGAGAGTAATTATATAATAGCATAGAGACTGATGTCATAGCAAACCAAAGTACTACTTGTTAAAATATAATATAAAAATTAAGTTTATTGCCATCAAATTATGTTATTTGGCTTACTTTTTGTTAAAAGTCTGGTAAATTTTTTGAGTATTATAAATGACTTACTTATAGGTTTAAAGGTAAAAAATGCTTTATTTTTAATGTTGTAAATAATGGAAGACTCATAAGACTAATTATTGAAAATTTTACTGAACTTTTGGTAAAAAGTTAATCAAATGGTATAATTTTATGTTAATGGTTTTAATTTTTACATTATATTTAAAAATTTGTATTTTAATTTGCTATATCTTCAAATTCTATATTATTATATATTACTATATATAACTTAACTCCAGTTTTTAATAATTAGATTTTCTACTTTTTATGCAAATTACTAATTAATAATATAAAATAAAAAGTTAAAGTAATAAATAAAAAATATATAAATTATACAATATAACTGTAATATTATATACCATAATGTGAAATAT